ATTTTTCCAGCTTCATCAATGTCGGTATCTTTTTCTTCTTGATTCCTCAAGTGTTTCCTTCGTTAATGTTATAGTTATGACGGAGATAAAAATACCATTACAAGTAATTTTGATATAAAGAAGTTTAGTATATATACTTGATTGTTGATATGTAATTGCTTGTGAAATAATGTGGAGTATAACTTTGAGATATATTATCAACAATTCAGGTCGAAATGCATAAATCTTCGAAGCAAGAACTTATCATATGTGCAGATTCTGACTACTATACTTGTAATTAATTAAAATATATATGGACCAGAAAGACAAATAATGGCATGAAGCGACGATGGAAGCCACGTTATGATCTACTCCTTAACTATAGCGCTAATTATTTACACTTGTCATAGTGCTTTCAGTTACAGTTAACGCACCTCATCAGTCATCAATTTTGAATTTTTTAGTTTGGAAATTAATGGGATGGTAGATAGGTGCGTTTATCCCAAAAAGCATTATTTTGATGAAATTTTGCGGTAGTTTGTGATTATTAGACTTAGTATATTTCATTCACCATTACATGAAAAACAAGTTTTCCTTCAACGTTGTCACATTTTTGTCAGCATCCAGGGCTGGAGGGGCCCAACGATTGAAACTCGTGGTTTTGCTTCAGATTTGGTTGCTCGGGCAGTGCCGGCTCAACATTTTTATGGGCCCTAGGGCAAAAAAAAATTTTGGACTCTTAGAAATTTTTTTTTAATGTTTTTTTTGCTGTAAAAAAAATTTATATGCTATTTTTTGTTAAAAATATTAATTACTAATACTAAAAACAATAAATAAAAAATTTTATAGACCTTTCTAAATTTTATTTTTATGTTATAATCTAATTTTTTAATATTTTTTAAAAAATATTTTAGAAAATGGGCCCCTTAATTATTGGACCACGGGATTGGACCCCTGGCCGTCGCACCGCCTGCCCACCCATCTGAGCCGGCACTGTGCTCGGGGTCTGCAGATAGGGGATGGAAACGAACTTACGATTGAGGCAACGCGGAATTCCCAAAGCTTAGATCTGTGGCGAGAATTGCCGTCTGGTCAGACGGGTTGTGCTGCTTGTCGATTGATGGGTTGCCTACCTGTCTTCCCACGACGTACTGTTAAGGGATACCTCATTATAACGGATGGTTGTTTAGAGTAACATTATTGGTAGTCTCTTAATATTGGTTCTTAGAATATTTTAATTGTTAATTTTGAAAAAAAAAAAAAATTGTTAATTTTGAAAATTTAAAACTTATGAGTTTGGGTAAGAGTTGAAATTTTTGGCATTGTCCAATAGTAGTATCTTAAGTTGGGGTTTAAAAAAAAAATGTTTTGAAGTGATTTGGTTCTTAAAAATTTGAAATGTTTTGGTTATTAAAAATTTTAAGTGTTTTGAAGTGTTTTGGTTTAAAAAATTGTGTGTTTTGGTTAAGTGTTTTGGTTATTATGTGTTTTCATCAACTTTATGTGTTTTGGTTTTTGTGTTTTGATTTTGTGGAGAAAAGATAGATATGGTTTTGGTTTTGTGGAGAAGAAGAAGATATGGTTTTGGTTGATGTGTATTATCAAGACTTGTCTTTTGTGAATAATGTATACCTTAGTACATGTGTATTATAGAAACTTTGAATTATCCTTTCAATATCATGTTCCTGTTATTTGCTAATCGTTGAAACAAAACAGAGGAACCAAGGAAAATCTGAATAGTTCTCTGTGATTTATTCATGAGAAAAGGGAGTCTTATAAAGACTTTTACAAGACTCAAGTAGATGACCTCTTCAAGCGGATTTGATAACAAAAGAGACTCTTAATCAAACGTGCATTGACTCCTACAACTTAGGAGGACTTATTCAAACTGAAACAAACAAAGCTTCAGCTAAACGACTTAGTTTTCAATCCCTTCACCTTGACTTTGAGTCCGGTAGTTGGGAGTCTCGTCGCTAATTTCCTTTGACAGATTTGTTTTTTTTAATAGTCATGGTTTATCTGGTATTTTAAAACTGATAATATATCTTTCTAAACCAAGATCTATTCCCAATTCAATCGGATCAGTTAATATTATATTATCTTTTTTTAAGATAAAAAGAAAAAGAGTGAAAATAATTCCAACCTAAATTTATAACTAAGGGCTTGATTGGTTCTCCCGCTACCACCCGCAAACACTGCGTTTACGGGCGGTTACGGTTGCTAGCGTTTAAAACCAATCATAAAAAACGTTTTATACCGCTCTGAACCGCTCTAGACCGCTCCGAACCGCCGAATTCAAAAGCTCCTTCCCGCAAGCGTTTGCGGTTGCGGGCGGTAGCGGTTGGCAAATTTTTTTTTTTTAAAATTCAAATCCTATATGTATATTAAAAATACATAAATAACAAATAAATTAAATTTTTTTTATCAAACCCTATATATATTAACGTTAATTCTCAAAACCCTAATTCTTTTTCTATTTACCAAAATTATGGCATCAATCTAAACTCAAGAATGACAAAATACAAACTAAGTATTGTAATAAAATTGTTAATCCAGAGGATCTAAGAATTCAACACATCTATTTTTTTTAGTTTGTCATATTTTGTTTTTGTAATTTATTATATTACTTTATGCTGTTTTTTTATGAATCAAATGCATGAAGTAATAAGCACTTAACTATGAAATATATTATTTTGAATAATTATGTAGTAATTTTATATATTTTATTATTATTAATTATATATAAATTGTTTTGTATTTTATCATAATAATATAAATATTTGGTGTTTTTATACTTTATTATATAATTATAAATTATATTTATTTTTATCATTTTTGATTTAACCGTTGTCCAATCCGCTGGTTAACCAGTCATAAAACTCCCGCAAACGCACCAATTTTCAACCGCTTAACCAGTCGTTCAAAATGCATCATAACGCTTGAAACCGCAACCGCCCGCTTCTGCAAACTCCCGCAGACGCAACCGCACCCGCTGCGTTTGAACCAGTGAGGCCCTAAGTCTGTCAATATTGGTGGAAACAAAAAGAAGTTCGTTAATTTTTTTGTTGCTATTTTTGGTGTTGAAAAACTAATTAATTCTAAAACTTAACTTAGTTTTTGCAATAATTATTGCAATATACATGATCATGCTTTATTTATGTTGTTACGTAGAATTTTGTTACATCGTCGGCATCATTATATCTTTTTTTTTTTAATTTTTGCAATACTAAGTTTCTATATTTATTTTCTAATACAATAAGAAATTAGAATATAGAACAAATTAGCAGTGTTAATTCATTTAAAATTTTAATTTACTGTGCGGTAACGTACTGGTCGACTTCCTAGTTGGCTATAATAGGAATAACTAGTCATCATTTCAATTTTTTTCAAAATGGAAAACCCTGTTAGGTATTGGAGTCTTTTTACAACAAAGTGGTATCAACATGTGAATTTTGTGGGCCAAGAAATGGACCGGCGTATAAACGATATGGGCTGCACTTCTAAATAGACTCGTATAATGGCATTTAATTTGACTGGAGATACTTTCGTTGAAACGGTGCTATGTATATTCGGCAGATTCGTAAAGCAAGTTTGCAAAACACGCTAATATTGTATATGATGTATAGTTTCCGTAATAAATCAAACTAGATTTTAACCGCGGGGCTATATTTAAAAAAAAAACATTTTTTTTTTTTAGTATATTAAGTATATATATGACATATTGTTTTGAATTTTCTAAATGTATAACTCTTATATCTATATATGATTTAGTATACAGTTACTATGTTTGAGGTTTACCGTTTTAAAATATAAGAACGATAACATACAATTCATTAAGTTAAAATCGAGATTATATCCCGCAGTACACCGCGGATCGATTTTTTTATAACAAAAAATTTAAACTTTAAATTATATTTTTTGATTATATTGTTTCTTTTGTTTAGTGTTTAAGATGATATAATTGTATTTTGATTGTTATATCTAGGATTTCACCCGTATTATACCATCTCGTATTAATATCGACCCAAATCCGTCCCACCATCTAACCATGTCCCGTGAAATTGAAAGTTTGCTTTCAAATTGTTTCCATAATATATATATATATATATATATATAATACTTATAGAGTTCAAATATTACAAATGTTTTAAACGTTTTATAAAATTTAAATAATTATAATATTTACCTTTTAATAAATTAAAAATATTTATAAGAATATAATTTTAATTTATATTTTTAATATTTATTATATTTTGAAACTTTTTAAAAGTAAAAAGTATATATTATCATATAAGAAATAACAAATAACCCGCAGTTAAGCGTGTTTTGGAGGTCACGGGTTCGATTCACGTTGGGAGGGGTCTGCTCTCCAAAGGGGAGTTAGATATTCAAAAAATGAAAATACTATAAAATATTTTAAAAGATTGTACATCCCTTGGTTTAGGCAAATTTTAAAATTTTGAATATCTATATAATTTTGAATATCTAGATAAAATTTTTGCTAAATTGAGTCGAATTGATTTTTAAATGATTATTTTTTCCAAAACCTAAATTAAAAAATTTCAGCATTAAACGTTTTTAAAAAAAAATTGTTAGCATTAAAACCAGATTTGTTAGAATTTAATCTATAATGCAACTATTTAATGTAGTTTCTCGTTTTGGATATTAACAAATATTTTGCAAAAATATAAGGAAAGATCCGTTTCAATATTTCTGGTGCAAAATCTTTAAATTGATCCGACCCACCAGTGACATATCTTGTAAATACTTCCAAAGTCCAGGATTTATTTACTAAAAATGTTCCAAAAATGTATATATAGATTGAGCAATTCATAAGTAGATTCATATTTAACGGATCCTATATGAATAATGATGTTTCAGTTATTATTTTCTAGTTACCATATTGATAGGAATTGGATATTTACAGAATCGGAAAATTCCAATTTATGGAATTAATAATAATGTCCTTGATATCATTTTTGTTTTAAATTATACTCTCCTTTTCTCCTATACTAAAATCCACATTAACTTTAAGAAAGTCCCTTGAATGCATAAGTTGCAACAGTTACAATCTCGAGCAGCAAACTTCAACGTTGCGCTTGACGATGTGTCCATCACGACCCTGACATTCGGGAAGGAGTTCACAGCTGCCATTGAAGCAAAGCAGGTGGCGGCTCAAGAGGCTGAGCGGGCTAAGTTCATCGTTGAGAAGGCCGAACAAGACAAGAGAAGTGCTGTTATCCGCGCCCAGGTAAAGAGATTCTCTACATTTCCACTTATCTAAAATCTGAGACCAAGATTGTTGTGTGACAAAAGTTCTAATGACTTGTGTAGGGAGAAGCCAAGAGTGCTCAGCTCATTGGTCAAGCAATTGCAAACAATCAAGCGTTTATCACTCTCAGGAAGATAGAGGCTGCAAGAGAGATTGCACAGACCATTGCAAACTCGGCGAACAAGGTGTACTTGAGCTCAGATGATCTTTTGCTTAATCTACAAGAGATGAATTTGGATGTCGATGCAAAGAAGTAGAGAGGCTTCTTAACTAAAACCCCATGTGGTTCATGTCGTCTTTTAAATTCCTAGGATCCTTTGGATCAAAAGCTTTATATGTACTACTAAATGCTTTTTAAGTTGTTCTTGGGATCTCTCTATCTTAAGGTGAAAATTGGTCTGCAGAAAAAGAAGATACTGTCTTTCTGAATGTGTTAATTGTAATAAACTTGTCGTCGTTTGGGGAGAAAAAAATGTACGAGACTTGCATTTGGAGTTAAATGGCCATAGCATATAAGAAAAAAAAATGATTTAGTTATCACTTATACGATTGTTACCATACAACTTTTGTATAAAATTGATCTTGCAGATGTAAAGATGAATTCGTGTACCAATAGACAAGATCTTTGTACATATTTTTCATGGTCAGTCCAAGGAATTTAAATTGTACAAAGCAGTAAAATCAAAAGGGAAAAAAAATATTTATGACAAAAAAACAAGTTACGTATGATTGCATTGTAAATTTAAATTATTTTCAACGTATGTATGTGTTGTAATATCAAAGATAATGCTTAGATATTATATACCTTTTGTTTTATTTTACGATGGTTGATGTAAAATGGTTTTGTTTTTAAGGGATAAAAGGTTGAGAGTCATGAACCAAGTGGTTCTGTATCCCGGTCTGATTAAACGAGATAAGAGCCGGGATATTGTGATAATACTCACCGGCTCCGGCGGTTCCTCCTCCACCGCCGTTGCTCTTACCGTTACCGTTGTTATGATGAAGATGGTAATGAAGGTGTCGACCACCACCTCCACCGAGGCCGTGGAGGTAAGGTCGGTCCTTAGCGGTGGCTACGGCTGCAACGGAGCCACCGCATTGGCGTGGTTGAGTCTGGTAGAAGACTTTGGAGACGACGAGCTCGCCTTCTTTCTCTTCTTCGCTTGTGCCAAGATGATATTGATGCATTACCCAATTAGTCTTCTCGGGTTTTTTTTGTTTGCCGTAGTTTGTGTAGAGAACTAGGATTTTCTTGTAGCCTCTCACTCTTCCTCCGGCGAGAACTGGCCGTGTTTTTCCGGTCTTATGCCACCGTGTCTCGCCACCGACGTCAGAATCAGTGTGGACTTTACGTCGCTTTCTTGTTCCAGTCGTGTATGCCTTCGACGGTCGGTGGAAGAAATGACGGACCGTCCCGTCCTTGTTTACTCCTATATATCAATGACTAATTAGCATTCATCAAACTTAATTTAATTAATAAATTGGATAAGCTACATCTTCTTTTTCTATTTGTTTTTTTTTTTGTCAAAGGCTTCTTTTTCTATTTGACATTTTACATCGTGCAAAATATGATTTAATTATTTTTTCCACGTATTTTTGTAGTTCTCAATATTCATTACTAGACGATCATATGAAGACGAAAAAAATATAATTATACTCTTGATGATTGAACAACATAGAATCACCTGGCAATTTCTCAGGATGGGTATAACAGATGCCGTTTTCACCATCGATGGTACGGATAAACTCATCGATGAGAGGATGAAGCTTTTTAGCGTCGTCTCTTACCTTCCCTTCAAGATGCTCCAAGACCTCTTGATCCGTCGGATCAAATTTCACTCCAGCAGGAAGTCCCGGCAAGTCATGGATCCCCGCCTACATTACATATTATATTCACATATCCAACATCATCTAAAGTAGAAACTTGATATAGGTAGAGGGAGAAACAAGAACCTGTTCGTGAAACTTGAAGTTATGGCCACAAGAAGGACAAGTTTTGTGACAAGAGACCGGAAGTGAGGCTACCGGGGACTCAGGCGCGGCAGGGGAGGGAATGATTCTTTCAACGGTCTGAACATCGCTACGGTCATTGCACCAAGTCATGTTGTTTTGTTTGTGTCTCTAAGTTTCTTCTTGTGCATATCTCTCTTCTCTTTCTCTTCTCTTCTTTCAGTGCTCACAACTTAATCAGAATAACCAAAGCATGAGGGATAGAGAGAGAGAAAGAGAGAAGGAAAAAAGGGGTTAAAGATAGCTAAAGCATATGTTTCATAAGAAGATCTCTTTGAGGTTATCTTGAGAAAGAGGAAGGAATTGAATTCTTGTTCATCACTTTCTAAGTTGAGTTAATTGCCCTTTTTTGCACTTGATTTTAACTTTGTACTATCCATGAAAGAGAGAGACGAGATAATCCTAGAAGAAATATTATTTAAACCTCATTTTTATAATGTGTACAAATGTACTATATACTGTGTAGTGAGAAATTAGTATTTAAAGACTTTGGTTTGTTTAACAAGTATGTAGAAAACATACATGTTAAGTACCAACGAGCGGCAGAGCTAGGCACACCTACAACTTGAAAGTAAAGTCTATAAGATATTTAACTATGAAACTTTCAAATCTTAATTAATTTTACATCGTGAATTTGTAATATATATTGATAAATTATATATTGGAACTTTTCTTCTTAATTTTTTTTGACAAGTGTGCATGTACAGATACATTTTTTTTTTGAAGTAAAAACATATGAATTAAACAGACTTTAGTTTATTCTTAAAAATACTATATATGTGATATTCTGAAGAATTATAAATGGATTACCAGAAAAAAAGAAAAAAAGAAGAAGAAGATTGCTTGCGTTTTAAGTTTGGTTGGGCTCATGGCATGTATGGTATGTGAGAGAGAAATAGACAAAGACAGATCAAACAAAAATTATATGAAAGGTACAAAATCTTATGAGGGAATACATATGTGTGAGCTTCTTACCTTTTTTTGACAATAACATTCATAAGTTATGGAACAAAATACCCTTTGTCTTGTCGAATTTTTGTGTATATATACTGATCCTATATATATCCAATATATAATGTTAAGAGTAAAAATAATAAAATCTGGAACTAATCAATTAATATTGGTAATTTGCTGATAAAATGTATAGGATCTAAAAACGAATATGATATGGAGTGTGTTTGGGGCAAGGTGTTGCTGCTGGTCTGTGAGAGCTCAGACGTGATATGGCAAAACAAAAGAAATAAGAAAGAGAAGTTAAGGTCCTATGTCACCCTAGAGTGTAGGTAAAGATATTATACATAAACTTATAATTTACACATCTTTTTCTTGTCTTAACGTCTCCATCAGTACATACATCAATTTACTGAAATCGTATACTGATAATATTAGTGATATACGTTAGAAAACATTGGAATATTGTTTTTTAGATAGATAAGAAAGAAAAAGAAAGTTAAAAAGCTAGTCATTATTCTATTTCTTCACGTAGACTTCTCATGCATAACAAGGAACCTCAACCTTTATTTATTTTTTCTGATTTTTGTTAACTTTAAACACATGTTATACAACCTATTAATATCGAATTAAACAAAAATTATGAACAAATGTTACACTTCTGTGTCCGTTGGGATAATTTGTGGTTCGGTTGTTGTTTTCACTGGTGGATCGAAAGCGCAGCAAGGTGACATTCAAGAAATCTATCTAACCACATTACTGACATATCTTGTCTGTGCTAATTGGCTATTTAGAATATACAGTTTATAATGATTAATGGCATTAGTATTAACATTTACCACAAAGTTTTACCTAATAAAAATATGAAAATTCAGAAAGAAAAAAATACTATTGATCCTCCATCACTCATCGAATGCACATCCGTTTTCAAAATTAAACTGGCAATGAGTTCAGTTTAAATGAAGGTTGACTATTGGGTTGACCAAGACCAACCACCAAATATTGCAAACATTGCGTTAATTTAAAAATAGTATCCAAACTATAACTTTATATTAGCATTAAGAGCAATCACCTAATCAGAAAGCTCCACTTTTCTGTTTCTGATACCTTTCTTACAATTCAGTAATTCACCTAGCATCATATCATCAAATCGCTATTCCGAGCCCAACCCAATTTCAGCCCATACTGGAATGTTCAAACGCTGTTCAAGTCTTCCGTGTAGTAAGGCGAGAGTTTCCCACCACTCTTGGAGCGTTTAGATATGTTTGGACTGCTACAAGAAACAGCACCAGAGACTTCTTGAAGCATGATCACAACTTTTCTCATGGAAGGTCGGTTTAGAGGGAGAGGACTGGTACAGAGTAGACCAATGTGAATGACTTTACTTATTTCTTCTTTGAACTTGAGATCGAGTTTGGGATCGATCACGGGTTCTAAACCGCATTTGTCAAGTGTAGTGCACACCCATTTCGCCATATCTTTATCTCCGAGTTCTGGATCCGTTGGTTGCTTCCCTGTAACCAGCTCCAAAAGCACTACACCGAAGCTGTAGATATCACTCTTCTCATTCACCCGAAGCGTATACACATATTCTGTGAAATTCAAAACTATTAATATATCTAAAATCCTCAGAACATAAGATCAAATGTTACAAAAATGCAGTTGAAATTTATCGCTTAATGTTTTGGTTATACCTGGTGCAATGTAACCACAAGAACCGGCGATCCCGGACATAGCTTCTGGAGTTTTGGAACCACTCATCTGACCGAATTTAGCGATCCCAAAGTCAGCAACTTTGGCCCCATAATCACTATCTAGCAGAATGTTACTTGACTTCACATCGCGGTGCACAATCGGAGGAACACAATCATGGTGCAAGTACGATAGACCTTCAGCAGCGTCCAAAGCGATTCTCAACCGCTCTGGCCAACCCAACACCACCCTGCCTTTACTGTCCCCATGCAACACATCAGCTAAGCTCCCATTAGGCATGTACTCGTATACCAACAACTTACAATCACCAGAGCTGCAACAACACCACAAACGCACAATACTCTTATGCCTAATCGTTCCCAACGTTTCAACCTCCGCAGCAAAAACATCTCTATTCAAGGAATCACTGTATTCATCTCCTCCTTTAACAGTTTTGTTGAGTTTCTTCACAGCTACAACTTCTCCGCCGCTAAGCTCAGCTTTATACACTTTACCTGAAGATCCAAATCCAATTACGTTCCGTTCATCAAGACAATCAGCTATCTCATGCTCACTGAAATGAAGCTTGTGGAAGGATCTCCATTTAGACGCTGCCAAATTAGAGCTCTTCAAGGCTCTGAGTTTTCTGCACTTGGCAATGAACATAACAATCCCAACGACAAAAACCAAACCGGCGAGTAAGAAAATTGTTAGGAGAATCCAAACATAACCAATGTTTCTAGACCGTGTGATCTTCCGACAAAGACCGTCAAGATCAACGCATAAACCGGGATTGCCGAGGAAGTCATGTGCGTAGATTTTATTCGCGTAGAGAGGAGGAATTTTACCGGAGAGGTGATTATACGAAAGATTTAAAACGTTTAGCTTCAGATTCTGTAACTCCAACGGAATTTCACCGGAGAATTGATTGTTGGAGAGATCAAGGTAATTGAGAACAGGTAACATTCCGACTTCTCTAGGGATTTCACCGGAGAGATGATTATTAGCCAAATTAAGCTCATTTAGATTCTTCAAACCTTTAATTCCTTTAGGAATCTCGCCGGAGAGTTGATTCTTGCTGAGATCAAGCCTGCTCAATTGCTTCAATTTCACCAAGGTACTAGGAATCTCACCAGTGAAATCATTCTCCGCTCCGGAAATCTCGATTAGTCCTTTAAGCGATCCGATTTCGTTGGGTATTGAACCTGAAAATTGATTCTTTGAGATTCGTAGGTTCGATAGATTCTTCGCACTGGAGATCGTCTCGTAAATACTTCCGGTGAATGAATTTTCAGAGAGTTCGAGTAGTGACAAGCGAGGCAATCCCCAGAATCCGTTTGGGATATGACCCGAAAGATTGTTGTTACTCAATCGGACCCGAGTCAAGCTCTTGCATTTTCCTAGATTATTCGAGATTTCTCCGGAGAACGAATTGTCTATTAGAATTAGATACTCTAGTTTCCCTTCACCGCAGAGGTTCGTCGGTATTTCGCCGGAAAATCGGTTGTACGATAGGTCCACGTATTGTAACGGTGAGTTAGCGCCGAGTTGACTCGGTAGTACTCCGGTGAGTTTGTTGTTGAAAAGCTTGAGTTCTGACAAGGTTTTGGAGAGAAGTATGCTCTCCGGTAATGGTCCTTCGAGCATGTTCTCGAAGAGATTGAGTGACTCGAGGTTTAACAGATTTAAGCCATCGGGAATTTTCCCTCTCAGCTTATTCATCGACGCGTCGAATCTTTTAGCGTCGTCATGTTACCCATAGCTTCCGGTAACTCGCCTGAGAACGAGTTGTTGAATAGTTCGATTTGCTCGACGTTTTTTAGCTGTGTGATCCAAGTTGGGATGGATCCTGTGAGTCGGTTTAATGTCAAATCCAAGTTAACCAAACGAGTTAACCTAGACAGAGCTGGAGGTACCGGACCGACGAGGTTGCAGCCGGCGAGCCAGAGAACTTCGAGCTCCGTGAGATTTCCGAGTTGACTTGGGATTTGACTCGGTGAAAACAAATTGTAAGCGAGTTTGAGTTCTTTAAGAGTTGTGACGTTACCGAGAGAGGCGGGAATTGTACCGGAGAGGAAGTTACCAGCGAGGTTTAAAGATTCTAGCTTTTGGAACTCTCCGAAGCTCGCCGGAATCGTGTCTGATAAGTTGTTACCGGAGATGTTGAGGAACTTGAGGTTCGGAAGATTGAAAGGAAGTGACTTTGGGATGGATCCAACCAAAAGATTCTCTGATAAATCGAGACTGATGAGATTCCGACACGTGTTGAAGTCGTCACCGGAGAGAGAACCATTGATGGAGTTGTTATATAGAGAGAGGAAGTGGAGAGAAGGAAGGTTGCAGAGGATGGAGGGGAAAGGTCCGACGAGCATGAAGCTTGAGAGATCGACGGAGACAACGGTTGACGTGTCGTCGCAGCTCACGCCGATCCACTTGCATGGGGTGATGTCATCGTTGTCGGACCATGAAGATAGGGACTGTGCTGGGTCGGAGAAGCCCAGTTTGGCTTGCCGGAGAATGGTGGCATCTTGGTTTAGAGATAGGCTTAGATACGTAGAAGAGAGACATAGGAGGAGAATAAGACAATAAAGCATTTTTCTGGAAAAGAATTCGTTATTCTTCTTTCATGCTTTGGTTTTGTGAATAAAACGAGATTATGGATTGGTAATTATAAGGATTTGTAGAAGCAAAAAGGGAAACGAACACTGTGACAAGACATGGGTGAGTCATGTTTTTCAAGATTGGAAGAATTAGGAGGCAAATAATATACATCCATGTGAATTCTATTACAGAGAAAAGTACTATACATATAAATCATCCCCAAAATTTATAAAGTGATTAAAAAAAATGCGGATTTTGAATGGTTACATAGGGTAATTTTATCAATTTTTTTTTTATAAATGAATAAGAACATGTAATTGTTCATTTGAAAAGAAATACAATGGTCACTCTCCAAGTCAACTGAAATGCTATGATGGTCAAAATGATGGAGACAAATGGGCCATGTGATGCTAGATTTATGTTGACTTTTCGAGTCAGCATATAAAGCTTCTGGATTTAATGTTATGAATGCATAACTTTATGTGTGTATAGTGGTGTGGAATGGGGATATGTCCTATCGATCTATAACATTTGTTAAACTGAAAACCTAAACACCTCTGATCCCAACCCTAGATTGACTAAGATAATTTGATGGACAATCTTTTAACTGGAACTATAGAATATAGTGATGCTTCCAAGTTCAATAGCTTCATGCGCTTTTGTGAAGCCACGTGTGTACGTAGACAAGGTCAAATCTGGTTGGTCGGAGAAACATGATCTAACAGTAGATTTTGTTAGATTACTTTCATTTCGATGGGCAAAGCAACAGTCACTTTGATTTGGAAAAGCAACGAGATTTAAGGGCGGAAAAGGAGAAAATGATAGATCATGTCTTTAATCTGTGATCGAATATCACGAGTTTGCGATGGTACAACGCACTATGCACAATGATGTCACCTTAATCCAATAATGTTTAAGTCTTTGGTTCTCCAATGATAATGACCTTTCTTCCTAGTTTGCATTCTCTATACGTCTCCCCAAGCACGCTGCCTTTTAATTGTTTTGGACTTTTGCTCATATAATAACGATATTCTCTTAAATTATGCTATTTTGAATCTCAATTGTTACAATATACGGAAAAATAAAGTAAATTAAAGGTTTATTTCGTTTTAAAAGTTCATGTTTCAAATGGTTTACATGTATAGTATGTAAAAATTATATGAAATAGATGTCACTTAAATTCTTGTTTATTTATTCTTAATTTCTTATTAACAAGTCCACTTCACAACGGATAACCTCTTTTAGCCGAAGAATAAATTCGTCCAAAGACCAATTTAATACAATTCTATATGGTCCATACGTTAGACAGATTAGAATTAAGCCACGTCTTTGAAGATTACTTACAAAACTAAATTATCTTCGATAAACTATTTTCTATTTTTGAAGTGTCTTCCCTTTTCCAGCGGGCTTCGACTTTATCTTAATTTCGTATTTGGGCTTTCCATAAACATCAAAAATTGAAGGACCACTGAATTCTTTTGGTTTCTATTTCAAGAAGAGCAAAGTGATACCATTATGAGGTAATTTTTATAACAAAGTTTATCACATCAGTTTTATAAAAGTAACTTAAAACGGTCTATTTCCCCACGATAAGTATCGCATCATAACAGATAGAGCCCATTCTTTGACCTCTGTCCATATCTCCATGAAACCAAAGTTGTATTCCTATTTCTCCCCGAATCGAAAGTTCTATAGCTAAATGTCCCCGAATCTGGGTTATATCGGTTTGCGCTGTAAACCCAAACTAAACCGAATACCAAACCACTAAAATTTGATTCTAGACTGAATTAAAATATGACCCACCCGTAAATGATCCGATATCATCTTCTTCTTCACCTGATTCTTCAAACAACCAAACGATTTTGATAAATTTGATATCAAAATTACAAAAGCTCATTGGAGAAAATCATTGTGATTAACCAATAATCAAATTCAATGGTAATCAAATTCGATGGTAATCAACTTACAACATCCTCTCCCTATAGCCACCAAACCCATATCGGTCAAATCGCCGGAATTCTTAATCGACAACGACTGCAATCCTCCACATAGAGCCACGCCGTCGACCCATTTCCATTCTGTAGTAGAGCAAACACCCTCCTCCATTCTGTAGTAGAGCCATGCCCATGAATTTGAAGCTTCTTCTCCAATGAATCTAAAGCTTCTTCTTCGTCTCCTCCGGTGAATCGGATCACCGCCGTCACCGTTCATCTCAGGTACCCTCTAATCTCTCTCTTGTCTCTTCTTGTGACACTTAGAGAATAGGATCCTTGAAAATTTCCAGAATTTGAGAATCGTAAAAGTTTGCCTTTTTGAATCAAGCTCAGGAGATCGGCTCCATTTCTCCGGCAAGCTACAGCTTTTCTCCGGCGATGCTGAAGCTTCTTATTTGTCTCCTCTGGCGAGATCACAACTCAATTGATTCCGACAACCCGTAGGTAACCAATTTTTTCTTACCAACTTCTCTTGCCTCAGTGATTCAATTTTTAACTGAGAGATCTTGTCTCCATCTGCTCCGTTAACAGTTTAATCACCACAACCAACGACCAGATACGCTGCTCAGACATCTATCCTCCGGTAACGCCTCAATTTCGTTGATTGTTTCAGCCCCTTAATCAATTTTCAGATTTCTGAGTTATTATCTTGTACCTTGAGATTTTCAGGTTTCAAGATCTACCTTTGGGTTGATTCGATTTGTTAATTATGGTCATATCTTTGTGTCTACGATGTGGCTCTGTTTGTTGTTTGGGTTTCAGTTTTATGAAACATTGTTTTTTTTTTTTTTTTTTTTTTTTTTTTTTTTTTTTTTTTGCTCTATGAATCTATAGTCAAATTATAATGTCAACGGGTAAATCGGGTTTATTCTGGTTATAATTAGGTTTAGATGGTTTGTTTTTCGGTTTTGTATACAATAAACCGATTAAACCCAGCTCCGTGGGGTTTTGGCTCTCGAACTTTTGTCTCGGGGATATTAAGCTATAAAACTTTTGATTCGGGGGGAAATAGGAATAGAATTTTGATTTCATGGAGATATGGACCGAGGTCAAAGAATGGGCTCTATCTGTTATGATGCGATACTTCTCGTGGGGAAATAGACCGTTTTTCCATACACTGTCACAATACTTCTTTGGGAATGGTCGAGTATCTTGGGGGTACCAAAACATTTATATCCCTCTACGAAATGATATACTATTTTAAATTTTGGGAATGGTTGAGTATCTTGGGAGTAATTGGTTTCTCATACTAGTAGTAGTTAAAAATAACCATACAAATGTCTTAATGTTTTTTTTTTTTTTTTAATAAATCTTAGCTAAGAATTGATTGTGGAAAAAAAAAAGCGTGAAAAGATAAGAGAACTGAGAGAGAAAATTAGAGAATAACGTTCAAATTTCAAAACAATATCTTAGTCAAACAGAAATTGTTGGGATTTTCTTTTTTTTTAAAAAACTAAATATTTCATATAAAAAAAGAAATAAATCGAAAGTAAGCCTTCTTAATGTTGGGACTAAAGACAAAACATGCTAAAAGAAGATAAAAAGAAACAAAGACTTTCGAGAGAGGTAGCAAAAAAAACTTTTGGAGATGTCAAATTCTTACTCAAAGACAAAAGATCTACTAATCTTACATCGACTAATCTTTATAACATCGTAGTCGTACGAATCTTAAAGTAGTGGGACCCGCCAGCAGAAACAAAACTCAAAACAAGGAAGAAGACTTGTCTGAATCTTCAATAAGCTCACGGATTTCTCCTCAAAATCCTGATCCAATCATTACTCCAATTCTCCAACTAGTTGGTAATAGACAATAATAACATGGAAGAAGATAGAAGAAGAGACAGAGGACATCCTCTGTTGAGATCCAAGAAGAGAGAAGACGGCTACAACCATGGCTTCTCACCGTCTCAGATTCAATCTCTCGCCGTCATCTGTCAAACTCTCCTCCCTCCGGAGACCACGGCGGAGGAGCAAGCTGTTAATTCCTTCAACGTAGCCTCCTCTACTCAGCCACCATTCACTGATGAGGTTCTTTATAGATATATATCCTCTGTTTCTAGTTTTGAATTCAAGATCTTGCTCCGATTTAGGAATAGTATTGTATAGATAATGAAGTTGGTCATGTTATTTATTTGGAATCCTCTAGGTGGCGGAGATGATAGTGAAAAACGGACGATCAGAAGCAGTCAAGGTTTTGAAAATCATATTGATGGTTTTGTCATTCAGATTTGGAACTTTGTTGCTTTGTGGCTCTCTCTGTCTTGATAAGAGTTGGCCTTTTGTTCTTAAATTCTCTCAACTTCCATTGGATAAAAGAGAAGAGATCTTGAGGAAATGGTCTAGACAGAGTGGTTTCCTTCTTCCATTTAGAATCACTTTCTTCCTTGCTAAATTCTATACCCTCTTCTACTTCTTCTCCCAGGTATAAACACAAACATCTCAAGTTTATTTTAGTAACTGTGAATAATGATTATTAGTAATGTGTTTGTTTGTTTCTCTGTTCACAGACGGATGAGAATCTGAAGAATCCTGCATTGGAAGCTATAGGTTATTGCCTCGATGCGACAGAAACAAGTAGCAACAAGAAGATTGAAGCAGATGAGAGACGGCGACCTCTTGAGACAGGGATCATTGAGACTAGGCATGAGAGTGACGTAACCATCACACAATCTCTAATTGGAAAAGGTGTTCATGTTGCTAGAGACGATGGTGACAATGTGCATAGGATCAGATGCGATGTGGTTATTGTAGGCTCAGGAAGCGGAGGAGGTGTTGCAGCTGCAAACCTAGCTAAAGCTGGATTCAAAGTCTTGGTTCTTGAGAAAGGAAATTACTTTGCACCTCAGGATTATTCGGGTCTAGAAGGTCCTTCTATGCTTGAGTTATATGAAAAAGGCGGGCTTTTGACGACGGTTGATGGGAAATTTATGCTCTTGGCGGGTTCGACTGTTGGAGGAGGTACAGCGGTTAACTGGTCCGCATCTATAAGGACGCCTGATCATGTTTTGCAGGAATGGTCTGAAGGGAGTAAGATCAAGTTTTTTGGTAGCCAAGAATACCAGTCCGCAATGGATGAAGTTACGAAAAGGATCGGTGTCACGGAAAGATGTGTCAAAGACGGGTTTCAGAACCAGGTTCTGCGGAAAGGGTGTGAAAGACTCGGTTTGCAGGTAGAGTCAGTTCCAAGGAACTCACCAGAAGATCATTATTGCGGCTTGTGCGGGTATGGATGTAGAGCTGGAGCCAAGAACGGGACAGACCAAACCTGGCTGGTTGATGCTGTAGAGAATGGTGCAGTGATCCTAACAGGGATCAAAGCTGAGAGATTTGTATTAGTAGAGAACACTAGCAGTAGCAATGAGAGAAAGAAACGATGTGTGGGAGTGATTGCGAGCTCTATTGGAGGAAAGATTGGGAAGAAGTTCATGATCGAAGCTCGAGTGACGGTTTCATCCGCTGGATCGCTGTTAACACCGCCTTTGATGATTTCAAGTGGGCTAAAGAACCTGAACATTGGGAGGAACTTAAAGCTGCACCCGGTTCTGATGACATGGGGATACTTCCCGGAGAAAGATTCTGAGTTCTCCGGGAAAATGTACGAGGGAGGGATCATCACGTCCGTCCATCACATGAATGATGCTGAATCAGGATGCAGAGCAATACTGGAGAATCCACTGATAGGACCAGCTTCGTATGCGGGGTTAAGCCCGTGGGTTTCAGGAGCAGACCTTAAGGAGCGGATGATTAAGTACGGAAGAACAGCTCATGTGTTTGCTCTGGTTCGGGACATCGGGTCAGGTGAGGTTATGAAAGAAAGCGAAGTTACATACAGGACAACCAAGAAAGATAGAGAGAATCTGAGGGCAGGTCTTCGACAAGCTTTGCGGGTTTCGGTTGCAGCAGGCGCAGTTGAAGTCGGGACATATAGGAGTGATGGACAGAGAATGAAGTGTGAGGGAATTACTAAAGAAGCCATGGAAGAGTTTCTAGACGAAGTTGATGCGGTTGGTGGGGTTAGCACAAAAGGAGAGTATTGGACGACATACTTCTCGGCGCACCAGATGGGTAGTTGTAGGATGGGAGCCACCGCGGAGGAAGGTGCGTTGGATGAGAATGGTGAGAGCTGGGAAGCAGAGGGATTGTTTGTCTGTGATGGAAGTGTATTGCCTTCAGCTGTTGGGGTTAACCCAATGATCACCATTCAGTCTACCGCTTACTGCATTTCCTCAAAGATAGTTGACTCGCTCCAAAGCAAAAGAAAAGTATAGAGAAGTAAAAAGAAAGAACTCAAACTATCCCATTAGTATTCATGTCGAAATAAATAATTTTTTCCTTGTAAGACAGAATTTGTTATGAATCATGGAATAGTACTTAAGCATTATCTTGACCACAACAAAGATGTAAGCAAATGATATATGCACCAAGATTCAAGAATGTTGAGCTAATTAAAGAAAAGCTCAATTCCAACATATCAGTGAAATTTGTAGAGTCTGAAGGATCAAATATGAATCAAACAGTCACAACATTGACAATCATATCATGAAACTTTTTTTTACTGTTCCCTTTATTTCCTTAGTGACAACAAAAAAATCAAAACTAAAAAAATGTAAAGTTTAACTATGTTTCTTAAAATTTTGTCGTCCAAATGTAAAGTTAATATTTACGGAAGATTACGTGACTACACTTAACTTTTATGAAAAAGTAAAGTATATAGGAATTTCCTTATTAACATATAAACGGGAGCTGTCTATAAATACAATCGTCTAAACGAAGAAGATCGAAACATAAACAAAAGTTACTAAACAAAAAATCGTTGTGTTGCAAAGAACAAGATGATGAGTAGTGCTACTTCTTATGCCATAGCCGGCATCGTTGTCTTCTTCGTCATACTCTCGGCTGTTTTGTCGTGCTGGTTTAGAGAGATTCGAAAATATCTTAGAGACAAGTACGACTGTTGTAGCTGCCTGTGAATACTTCGGTCCATCGATTAAGGATCGATGATTTTGGAGATGCAAAATCATAGTTGGGCGGGTTTGTTGAATTTGTTTTGTTTGTTTTAATATGACTACTAATTGCTTAAGGGTTCCTTATTTTTATGCTATGGATTATTGAATTATTAGATTATCCTTCAATAGTTTTATTATACATATATCGTGGTGTGTTTGTGTTTGGCGATTTTAAATACACAACAGTTGTCCAAAAAAAAAGGATTATAACAAACAAACACTAAAAAAAAGATTTGAATTTTAATTAAAAGCTTTTGACAAAAAAAAAAAACACTGAAAAAAAGATTATGCAAGATCTCGAAGATAATTCCACAAGAGTTCATACTTATCTTGAAAAAAAACCTAATATCTATGATAATATGCAAAACTCTTATACAAGTTTTAAGAAAAGCAAAAAATCAACTTAAAACACTTTATATTAGTTAATAACACTTCCCAAACCTAAATGCACAACAAACGCATGACCGAAACGAAACACACAACACAAACCCTGCTCGGGTCCGTCGTCGGAAAAATAGAAAGCCAAGCAAAAACGGCAGGACTCGGTGGAGAGATCTCTGACTAGCGGCAGATAAGTCAATGGGATCACTTCGCCGTAGTACGAGCAATCGCCACTGGAAGAAGGGTACGGCGGTGAAGATGACTAGGACGCCTTCATCTCTACCGCCTCCTCCGCCGCCTCCGCCTCTTCCGCCTATTAATGCAATCGTGGGAGGGACGGGGAAGTCGAAGAAGAGAAGGGGAGGAGTCTGTCTATGGACGAGGTTTGATCGGACTGGATTCATGGAAGTGGTTGGATGTGACAAGAGCACCATCATCGAACGTTCTTCTGTTTCGGCTAAGGATTTAAGAACTGGTTTCGCTCACTCTTCTAAAATTCTAGGTATACTCACGTTTATGTCTTTTTGCTGACTAGTTTTCACAACGGATAATAACAAACCCATGTTTTGCTGTGACGCAGCCAGAGAGAAAGCTATTGTCCTGAATTTAGAGGTCATAAAGGCGGTAATTACTCCAGAAGAAGTTATGTTGTTGGATTCTCTCCGTCCTGAAGTTCTTACACTCATTGACCGACTAAAGCATCACTTTCCTCGGAAGGATGGTCCTGAAAATGCAATGCAAGCTTCTTCTCTTGGTGATCAAGAAGGTGGAGAAGAGGGCTTGGAGAATAAGCTTCCTTTTGAATTTCAGGTACTAGAGATTGCACTCGAGGTCGTCTGCTCATTTGTTGATAGCAATGTGGTAGTCCTTGAGACACAAGCTTGGTCTATTCTTGATGAACTAACCAAGAAGGTCACCAATGAGAATCTTAAAGACCTACGAAGTTTAAAAAGTAGTCTCACCATCTTGCTAGCCCGTGTACAAAAGGTAAAATGTTATTACCTTTTCCCATGATACTCTAATGTTGTGTGATGGATGGATAGATAAAAAGCTATTGTATACATTATTCAGGTGAGAGATGAAATCGAACATTTCTTAGATGACAAGGAAGACATGGAAGACTTATACTTAACAAGGAAATGTATCCAAAACCAACAAACCGGGGCACCATCAAATAGCATTGTCCCCCAATCAAAAGGAAGAAGCGCCAGTATGGTGACGGAGGAAGATGACGTTGATGATATGGAGATGTTGCTTGAGGCATACTTCATGCAACTAGAGGGAATGCGGAACAAAATTCTTATGGTAAGTAGTAAAAGTACTATAGGGGTCAGATTTCGTTTTACCTAATTTGGAAATTTTTTGAATTGCAGATGAAGGAGCACATTGACGGCACAGAAGCATACGTGAAGATATTACAGAATAGTAGACGTAACGGACTGATCCACCTAATGATGATGGTGAATATAGGCAATTATGCAATAACTGCAGGGACAGTGGTGGTCAACTTGTTCGGTATGAACACACCAATTGGATTATATAGCACACCTGACATCTTTGGTTACGTTGTGTGGGCTGTTGTTGCGCTTTGCATTGTGCTTTTCATTGTCACCCTTGGTTACGCCAAGCATAAGAAGCTACTTGACTGATCAGAGACTAAACACATTAGGTTTAGTCATTATAAGATTAGGTTTTCTTGAATTTTTTGCTTTTTCTTATTGAATTTAATGTTTTTAATAGATTATCCTAAACAATTTTGCTATTTCGATTTCAATAAAAGGAGCTACCTTTTTATATTACTCTCTTGAAGATTTGTATGATATATGCACCATCGCTTATGAATCAATGTATTAGGGAAGCACTAAGAACAGAAAGATTGACGAGTAAAATTCATTACTTGGGAACAACTTTATATTGCATAGAACATACAAAAATGTTACAATGTATGAATCTATATGTCTGAAGTTTATGAAACTCTTTTCCTAGACTGACCTTTTGAGTGAAACTACTCTGTTCTTGTTACACACTAACAGTACGGGGTTACATTAGCCTTGTCGACCCACGAAGGTCTCTTCGCTTTATAGTAGAAATGCGCAATCATATGAACCAATTCATCCGCTGTGCGAAAGTCTGCATCAAGTTCAATACGGTATGATAATCCATTGCTCACACATATTGCCAAAAAAAAGGAAAACAGCATTACCAACATAGCTTATCACCTTTCTCCCTATACAGAATCCGGTTTCCGCGTAAGAAGAGAATCTGTGGGCATTCCTTAGCTTTAAGAGCATATGCCAAATCTGTCTCGATGTTCAGGTCAATCTTAACCGCCTGTTTCATCAAACGTGATGATTCTTATAACAAAGAGTAGCTACGTCTATAAAGAGTTATATACTTCTATCAACAACATGGAATCACATCATGAAAGAGACAATGAGACACAGAGTAATCTTCAAGTTTTATAGAAAAACTGCAAAGTAGAGAAAGATTCTGACATACCCGTGGAGGTAATCGATCTTTTGCATCCCAATAAACTTTGATAGCTTTCTCAAGCTCCTTCAATGTCTTCCAGTTATCACTAGCCCTATAAAACGCCCAGCAAATTCAAGAAATTATTCCAACAGTAGTAGATTTTGGTCACTCTATTAAACTTCAAACTAAAAAAACCAAAGTTTAAGCTTTTGTCCTCATTGCAGTTAATTGATCCTGGAATCTAACTCAAATGGCTCTCTGAACTTATAATGATAGTCTAGAAAATGTTGTAAAGGAAAAAAAAGCAAAGCTTTCATAGTAAATGGGTAAAAAAACCCTTACCTTTCTTAAAAACATAGAAAAAACCCTCAACTTTTTTTGTGGGTTTTTAAACCCTCACCTTTTTATATATGGTTAAATAAACCCTAATATTGATAAACTCAATTTAATTTTTTAAAAATCATTATATTAAAACAGTAAGTAACAAACAAAATTTAATTTATGATTTTTTATTTTAAATTTGAGTTTACGATTTTTTTTGAATTTTGCTATTTAAAAACCCACAAAAAAAGTTGAGGGTTTTTTCTATGTTTTTATGAAAGGTGAGGGTTTTTCTACCCATTTTTCCGTTTTACTACCTCTCTCCTATGCACACCAAGTGTTTGTGAAAATTCGTCAACGAAATAACAAAGCTTTTACCTTTTGTATCGCTCGAATACGAGGACAACGAGTGGACTAGGATGAAAAGCGAAGCTTTCCCACTCCAGACAATTGATCTCCTTGACCCAACTATCATCAATCTCACCTTCCCAATCAATCTCAGTCCCATCTTCTCCAACAACGTTTTTGATTGGATGTGTATCGAAATACTCTGAAGCTTTGATTCCCCATCCAACGTCTGTATCTACTGGCCAATCTGGATCTTCCTCTTCCACCACCATCTCTCCTTCTTCTTCTCCCTCTTCATCAACGCCTCTGTCTTTGATGAAATTCGCCTTCTCTTTGTTCTCAAAAACCTCCGGATTCTGTTCTCTTATGGTGGAGAAAGTTTTCTCGAGGGAGCTTCTCACGTAGTCTTCCACAGCGTCTGCTTCGCTTCGTCGCCCGCGCTTCGATTTACGCCGGACCTTTGTCGGGAACTTGTCATTGTTCTCGGTTTCAGCACTTGGTGTGACTACTTCCTTCTTTTGGCGACGAGACCGAGTTTGATTTTTGGATTCAGGTTCGGGTACGGAATCAGACGAAACAGCGGCGAGGCATACCGGAGGTTTCACGCTCCGGGATGATATCGTCGCCGGAAATACCGATAGTGGACTGCGATGCACAACGGAGAAGCTCGAATTCAAGCCGGTGAGAAGCATGGAAGATCTTGGCGCAGAGCAAGCAACAGTGAAGAAACTCATTTCTCTCTTTTCCCAAATTCAAAACGAAATTCGCAGAAACAATTTGGTAACTGAGTTTTTTTATTTCATAATCCCGGTTTGGATTATTTCGGTTTGTGTTACCATCCTTGATTCGGATCGGTTATATTCTCCAATAGTTGGTTAAGTTTATAGAGTCGAAACGGTGTCGTTTCATTGTATTCATATAACTCGTGTGGATCCGATAAGTTTGAGGTATTAAAAAAATTACTGAAAAAATGAATATTTTTGGCAAGAATTGTAAGTTTGATATTTTTGTTTTAGTAATTTTCCCTTTGTTTATGTGATCACAATATCCATAATATGATCACAAATTAGATACATTGATAAATATATAAATTTTCCATAATGATAAGATCCTAAAATGTATAGTTTACTTATCTTCTGACCTCAAAATGTAAAACTCACCGTTAACACACACATACACTAGTGTTTATATATAATTTTTCTGCAAGAAGAAGAAGCAGACACGGTTCAAAAATCTAATAATTTGTTGACGATATGGAGAAGATTGTTTTGGGATGCATTGTGTTTGTCTTGGTTCTCTGCGTAGTGTTTTTTTGTCGTCTCTTAAGTTACCTTTGGGAAAATTGTTTTGAAGCACCTAATAACGATGATGGATTAGTTCGAGGTACATCAGTTGTCTAAATGTTTTGTTTCGAGCTAATATAGAAGTACTTTTCTACAAAGTGATTTTTCGATTCTATTTTTAATATTTTAGTATCATGACAGTCTCGAAGACACAAACGTATGGACCGCCTCAGGTGACGACAGAGGAGCCCGAAATCCCTAAACAAAAAGAACATAGTCTTTTCTGAACTAGTTAAATATTTTTTACTTTTTTTTTTTTTCACTGGTAAATATTGATTATGCCAAGCAAAGATACAAAGTGAAATACTAAAGCCGGCGGAACAACAAGATGTCCCCGGAAACCAAAGGTGAAAAGCTAAAGCCGGCGGAACAACGAGATATCCCCGGAGACAAAAGCCCAAACAAGGGAAGCATAGCCCTAAACAACAGGGAAGCAATATAGAAACGACGATATACCCTACAGAAAGTTTATTAAGGACGTTGGGAGGGATCTCTTCTCATAAGGAGATGAATTTAACCTGGTGTGGATCCCGCCTCTGGGAGATGTAGGGCTTTCGGGCTTGAACTTCCAGATATTAAAAAAAAAAAAAAAAAAAGTGAAAATTACTTGTGCTTTTTTTTCTTTTTACTTTCTTTCATGGACCTCACACAGTCACACCAATTTCATTAAAGTGACAATTATTTTCATTGAGGACGATTTTAACAAGTCTACTCATAAAACTCTTCATATACATTTGTTTTGGTACTTATTAATTTTCATTGTTGGTCTTGGTCGTATCGTCTGCCATGTTATTATGACATATATTCATGATATAAATTAAAAGATTGGATAGGATATAAAATATGGATTTGTAAATGATGGAATTAACCATATATTGAACTTCAAATCTGGAAGTTGATTTTATATAATTCACGAAATGACAGCTAGTTTCATTTAAAAAAAAATTATTCAATTTTCAACTTTCTATATACCGTCGTAATGTCCAGCTATTTTAACCTAAACATCTACCTAACAAGTAACAACTAACACGAGTCAGTACTCCCTCGATTAGATTTCTCCACACATACTACAAGATATAAAAACGACAAAATTTTCCATGTATTTAATATTATTTTCTTCATGTTAGTAGACTAGTAGACTTTTAGAAATAAAATGGGTAAAATATCTAAAACATTTACAATAAAAACTCACAAAACATTAATTTTAAATGAATCCTGATATATTGTTAAATTTCTTGTTGCCATTTCAACTTTTTTCATTCTCCATCATTTTTAATACTCATTTATTCATATTTAAAATAATGGTGACCACTATTAATATATCGAAATAAATTAACAAAATAGAAAGAAGTAATTAATGAAAACCAAAAATCAAGGGACCCGCGAGAGACATTTTCAACACGCGGAAATAAGAAAAATCAAAAAGATAGAAACAAAAATAAAAAAAAAGGAAAAAAATAAAAAGGTAATAAATGTCTTTGAGTAACATAGGTTTTTTTTATAACTAATAAGACCAGTCTCTTCTCGTGTTCCTAAGCTTCGAAAAAATTCCATCTGCTGTTTTTATTCGCCTGCACTCTTATTCTGCAGTCCCCAATTTCACTTTTTTTTTTTGTTTGGTATTAGTGAAGAAGAAAACACCAAACAAAGAGGCAATTATAAAAAAAAAAAACTCACTCACAACGATGCAGAAAGCGACAAAGGCAGAGGAGAGAAAGTAAAAGGGTGAAAAATATAAAGAAGAAGAAGAAAGATCAGATTTTTGTTCTTTAATTTTGGTGGATTGTTTCCTTCCTTTGCTTGATTGCTTCGAATTGGAATAAGTCTGAAGAATTTCGAGGCGGCCATGGCTGTCGGCTTTCTCTTTTTCTCTTCTTCTTTCCCTCATTCTCAAAGGTCTCTTCTTTTTCCCCCTTTTGTTTCTTGATCTTCCTTATTACTTCAATTGGGTTTGTGATTCGATCTGATTTTAGGGCTTTTATTGTTTCATTGTCATTTTTGATTCTGAAATTTCGAGCTTTTGGTTACTGAACTTAGTTAGAATCCCCAAAGCTCTCGACTTTCTCGCGGATTTGCTTTTTTCTTGAGGGGGGTGAGTTTTTATAGTTAAAATGCTGAAATTGTTGTGACTCTTCTTTATCGAAATTTGTTCAAAGATTTTGAGTTCTGGGCGTTATGTTTTAGGAATTGGATAATCAAAGATTTTGATCATAAAATGTTCTGTTTCTGAATCATATTTTGCATTAATGTGAATGTTATTTTTTTGTCTGTTTCTCTTATTTATGATCCAAATCTTGATCCCATTTTAATATGTGTTCTTTAATTGTGGTCTCTGATGTCATTTTGAAGATCATTGAGAAGCTATGAAGAACAGCGAGATTAGGCCTGAGAAGTTGCATTTACGTGGAATAAGAAAAAGTTTGAGGAAGATCAGAATGAAGTGTTTGTGTTCTGGTGAACAAATGAGGCTTAGAGAGGATGAAGACAAGAAATCTGAGCTTGGAGTTGGCAGAGACTACAATGGAAGCTCAGCTTTATCCACCGCAGAGAGCGAGAATGCTAAGAAACTAGATAATGGGAATATTGAAGAAGCCGAGTTATCTCTGCGTGAGACGAGTTCGTTGAACTACGAGGTTTGATTTCTCTATCACTCTTGAGCTTTGATGATTTTGACAAGCTGAGTCATTGTGTTGTTGTTGTTTCAGGAGGCGAGAGCGCTTTTGGGAAGAATCGAGTATCAGAAAGGAAATATAGAGGCGGCATTGCGAGTCTTTGAAGGGATAGATATCAATGGGATCACAGTGAAGATGAAAACCGCTCTAACCTTTAGAGAAGAACGGAAACATAGAAGACGGTCTAAAGGCGGCTTTGCTGCTACTCCTCCGCCTTCTATGTCTAAACATGCTGTTAGTTTGCTTTTCGAAGCCATTTTTCTCAAAGCAAAATCTCTCCAGCGTCTTGGAAGGTTTCAAGGTAGTAACAATCATATCTTTTGATTCCATAGTATATCGTTTTGTTTTTGGCTAAACAGAAATATCCTGTACTTCTTCTTGCAGAAGCTGCGCAGTCTTGCAGAGTTATTCTTGATATAGTCGAGACTTCTTTAGCAGAAGGTGCGTCGGATAATGTGACTGGCGATATTAAGTTGCAGGAGACACTGACAAAAGCGGTCGAGCTGCTTCCTGAATTGTGGAAGCTTGCTGATTCGCCGCGTGATGCTATTTTGTCGTATAGAAGAGCGCTTCTCAATCACTGGAAACTCGATCCAGAAACCACCGCGAGGATCCAGAAAGAGTATGCCGTGTTTCTCCTCTATTCCGGGGAAGAAGCAGTGCCACCAAACCTGCGTTCTCAGACCGAGGGTTCGTTCATTCCGAGGAACAATGTGGAAGAAGCTATTCTTCTTCTAATGTTACTTCTCAGGAAAGTTAATCTGAAAAGAATCTCGTGGGATGCGGCAATCTTGGACCATCTCTCGTTCGCTCTTACAATCGCAGGCGATCTAACTGCTCTGGCTAAGCAATTTGAAGAGCTTAGTCCCGAGCTCTATGATCAGAGGGAACTTTATCATACATTGTCTCTGTGTTACCAAGGTGCAGGAGAAGGTCTTGTCGCCCTTGGTTTACTGAGGAAGCTATTTTCAGAACGAGAGGATCCAAACCGAATTTTGAGTTTGCTGATGGCTTCCAAAATATGCGGTGAGAGAGCTGGTCTTGCTGAGGAAGGGTTAGATTATGCCCGGAGAGCAATCGGAAACTTGGGGAATGAATGCAGTCAGTCAGATGGAGCAGCGCGTTTCGTTTTAGGGATCACACTCACGGAAAGCTCGAGAATGGCTGTTACAGAGACAGAGCGGATAGCTAGGCAATCCGAGGGGATTCAGGCTCTGGAATCTGCGGATATGACAAACCCGAGAGTTGTGCACCGTCTTGCGTTGGAGAATGCAGAACAGAGGAAACTGGATTCTGCATTAGCATATGCTAAACAGGCGTTGAAACTTGGAGCGGAGTCTGATCTTGAAGTATGGTTACTTTTGGCTCGGGTTTTATCTGCGCAGAAGCGGTTTTCAGACGCCGAGACCATTGTGGATGCGGCGCTTAACGAGACAGGGAAATGGGAACAGGGGAAGCTGTTACGTTTGAAGGCAAAGATTCGCTTAGCTAAAGGGGAAGTGAAAGATGCGATTACGACTTACACACAACTTCTAGCACTCCTTCAGGTTCAGAGCAAAAGCATCAATTCTGCAAAGAAGCTGCCTAAGGTAACTTTTCGTATGTTCTCATTCCTCTCCCAAACTTTTGAGGTGTGCAGAATTAACACTGAAACAGATTTATTCATTACAGGGATATGTAGAGGAATTGAGGAGTCTGGAGCTTGGTACGTGGCACGATCTGGCTCATATCTACATAAACCTCTCTCAATGGCGTGACGCAGAGTCATGTCTCTCGAGATCAAGACTCATTGCGCCTTACTCTTCTGTTAGATACCACACTGAAGGTATTACCTTCTTCTTCTACTTCCATTTAGACCTCGAGTGTTTATATTTTTGTTTCCATGTAGTGTCTTTTTCGAACATAAAAATTGGCGGTTGAAACAAGCAAGGCGGTAATATTGATAGCTTATTCGTACCAATTGGCAGGTGTACTGCACAATAGACAGGGGCAATTAGAAGAAGCAATGGAGGCGTTCACAACCGCTCTTGATATAGATCCGATGCACGTTCCAAGCTTAATATCGAAGGCTGAGATCCTGCTGGAACTCGGGAATCGATCAGGCATAGCGGTTGTAAGAAGCTTTCTAATGGAGGCTCTTAGGATTGATAGGCTGAACCACTCGGCTTGGTATAATCTTGGAAAGATGTTCAAAGCTGAAGGATCCGTCTCGTCAATGCAAGAAGCCGTCGAGTGTTTTCAAGCCGCTGTTACACTGGAGGAAACAATGCCAGTGGAGCCATTCAGATGATTTTGCCGTCCTCTCAAATCATATTTTTTTTGTATTTTTGGTTATTGATTTCTCCTTTTCTGATTTTTTTTTGTTTGTTTTGATAGATGAATATAAGAAGATATAAAGATGTATGTGTGGGTATCATTTGATGTGAAGTTTATAAACATTGTGTAATACACAGTTAAACAAAAATTAATATAGGTTTTGGTGAGGTAAATTTTGTAAGCCAGGTTTTATGGAGAAAACTTCCAGGTTTAATATTCTAAAAAAGATTTAACATAAGAAATCTGTATCGGTAAAACTAATGAGTTAAGCATTTAGATTACATTCGAATGATGAAGATTCTCCCAAACTAAACTCTTTATTTTTGTTTTGTTTCTTTCTTGGGGATCTGTTGTTTTGTCTACACAGCTGAGTTGAGAGAGTCTTCCATCAGAAAAATAGTTAAACAGTAGAGAGAGAAGTCCTGAAGCTCAAGATAAGAGCTCTCTCTATCACTGTTAAACTCTGAAACTCCGAGATTATCCAGCAAAACACTAATTCTTTCAATTATCGGTTTTGGGACGCTTTGGCTGTGGAGATTCTGGTTCCTCACATTTCCTGGTTTCTTCTGATGCGAGCTCCTTTGTATCAGCAGTTTTCTTGTCTTCTTGCTCGGATTTGGCTGCGGAATCTGACGTCGAGGCTGTCCCTTTGGCAAGATCCGAGTTTTGTTTCTCGAACATCATTTGCAGGTACTTGCCTTGTTCTTCTATCCGGAGTTGCAGGTTTCTTTGAATCTGCAGGCACAGGAAAAGAACACATTTTATATCCAAACTCAGAATACTTAGAATCAGGTTTCACATTTTTACTCTTTGCAGCTACCATGCAAACACATAAGCATAAAAACCAAAGCTAATGACAATGCCTTTATAAACATACCTCGAGCTGCTCATGGAGTTGCTTCTGTACTTCCATCTGAAGTCGCAGAGCCTCTGTAATACCTATCCCACTGCAGTATAAATATGTACGAGGTGAGAATCTGTTCAAAATAGTGCAGCACTTGTGATGTTACAAGATGATAATAAACTTTACCCTTTCAAATCAAGAGATGTTATATGTTCAAGCGGTGTCAACTTCTTCTCTGGCGAACCTGTAGTGATCAAAGAAACTTTAGTTTTTACACTAAATTCTTCAGGTAAAATCATCAAACAAGAGAGGAACGAGTTTGGTATCTACCAGTTTCTGATGCCTCTGGTCGATATCTAGCTGTCCTATATTTCTGAAAAACACCATCTAATATTAGAAGACAATTCTATGCATTTAGCTGGGAGCTAAAGATTAGTAAGAACCTGTAAATGGCTTTTGACATGATATATAGTCAAGCCTTCAACTTTCATAATCTTCAGTACACCTTTAGGAGTAGCTCCTGCGTCAGATATAATTTAACCAGAAGATAAGTTATTATCTTTCCATATACCATACAAAGTTTATGGAAAGCAAAGCGAAATAAATGCTCACTTTCACTGCCACCAAGACTGTTGACAGCCTCAACAAAAGCCTCGTGAAGCTCTGGCGTCCAACGCATACGTGCCTTGCCCGTTCCGTTATTACTGTTTGAAGATGTTGTGCTAACAGGTCGCAATTCTACAGACGGAGAAGGTTGCTGCTGAACAATCTGAGGTTGTGGAATTTGCAGTGATTTCTGGTCCTAAAACAGTGTGTCCAACCAATTTTGAACAACATGAGAACACGGATATCAAATAGGAAAAGTAAAGACTTGGAACAAGAAACGTTAACAACCTTTGAATCAGAATTGGAACTTGTTTCAAGCAAGAGATCATTCCAGTTAGTAGACATCAAAGGATCTTCATCAGTGATCAAATGGTCAGCCCATTCATGCCAATCACTTCGTTTTTGAATGTCATCAAACGCAGCCGCAATGCCACCATCCTCAATTTGACTGTTGTTTTGAATCGCCGGGTTATTGTTTTCATGGAAATCAAGAAACCCTCCTGGCAATGAATCATGACACCAAGAACTATCGTTGCTCGATGCCTGCGCAGCATGACTGCTGCTTCCTGCGTAGTGTTGCTTCTCATGAGATACCATAGCCGAGTAATGGAGATTGTTCGAGAAACCACCCGATGATGAAGAAGAACATATATGTCCAACAGCTCCACCGTTACTAGAGGAAAGCAAATGGTAGGATTGTCCTAACTGCCTCGACATTAACTGAGTGTTGTTCTCTGATCTGTTATAACTATCTTCTGCTGCTGAAGGTTTTTGTGTAGATGGGATTGAAGAAGTGCGTGCGAGGTTACTACTGAGCTCTCTCGAACCTGATCTCTGAACTGGACGAGCCTCCATTTTGGTCCTGCAACAGAAAATCATAATCAAGACATCATTTTTACTGTCTGATATAAATAAAGTCGCAGTTTTTATTGAAGAAAGCAAAACACACATTATCCAACCAAATATCAAATTCGCTGAAAAAAATGGAAAAAACAAACCCAAATCGAATCCACCAATCATTAACGGTTTTTATTGAAGAAAGCAAATATATCTGCAAATTAGGCTCGAAAGATATAAATTCTCTATTTTTCTGTAGATTACTCAAACACGAAGAAGAAGAATCGAAAATTCTCTCACCTAGCAATTCATGTAGACATGGAGACTCAAGGAAGACGAATCGAATCCGAGAAAATGATGATTATGAAAATTGGCCGCCCTCTTGAGGAATCGGAGAATCGTCTTGTCCGCAAGAGAAAAGTTGACGGTGATGATTTTCTTTCTTCGGCTTCTTGTTATATTTCGGAGGTGGTGGCTGTCTTGAACAAAAGGGATCAGCCGTCGTTTCTTCACGCGCGGTGAAACATCGCGTGAATATGACTCGCTTGTTGGGACCTTACGTGGATGTTGTTTATTGGATAATTGGGATCGTTTATTGGGCTTGGTCTTTTTCGTTTTTTATTTATTTAAATTTCTGGTGTCTATGATATTTTTCTGCTCTTATAAGGCTACTACGGCCCAAAGTGGCTTGCTGATTCATTTTGTTTTACAAAAAAGTTCAATTTTCGGTGTACAATCAGAATTGAGGTATTATCATGAATTTGCCTCCATCCCGTTTTAAATCTCAATCCATTATTAAGTACGCGGTGTAACATTAGCTCTCAATATTCACACATCCAATTTACTGTTTTGTTGTGTCCACAAATTGGCGTATCTGCCAGATTTCCCCAACAACACTTGGTGTGTCCCTTTTTCCACTACTTTCCCTTTCTCCATTACTATTATTTCATCACATTGCATCGCAGTGGTCAGCCTATGTGCAATGAAGACGCAAGTTCTGTTACTCGCTAACGATCTGAGCGTTTTCATTATCTCTGCCTCGGTTTTACTGTCAAGCGCACTCGTTGCTTCGTCACACAACAGGATTGCAGGTGCTTTCAGAAATGCACGAGCTAGTGCCACTCTTTGCTTCTCTCCACCACTCAGCATCAGCCCTCTTTCTCCCACCGCGGTTGAATATTTATCCGGGAATTTCATGATTGTGTCGTGAATCGCTGCTCGCCGAGCTGCATCGTACACCTCTTCCTCTGTTGCTGAAAGGTTTCCATAGTGGATGTTGTGAAATATTGTGTCATTGAAGAGCACCTGCCAATTGCCATAATGCCAGTACTGAGTTTAGGATATGATTGGTATACTTTATCTTATATTATGTAACCATGAAAATTGACATGATAATATTAAAATAAAGATTTTAGTTATAATTAGGAAACATTTTGGGAGTGTAATTGTCACTTCTTTATGATTTTATGCTAACATACTAACTACATTGTACATTACTTCACAAAACCGGTTTGGACTTATAACAGTAAAATCATATTGTAAGAGGAAGTTTATAGACTTATTATAGTGAAAATGGCAACTTACAGTATCTTGAGGGACAACTCCAATGGAGCTTCGAAGACTCTCTAATCTCACTTCCTTTATATTCTGACCATCAATCTTTACATTTCCGGAATCTGTGTCAAAGAATCTGAATATCATTCTAAGAATAGTCGATTTTCCGCTTCCGCTACTACCAACAATCGCCACACTTTTCCCCGCCGGTACCTCAAATGAAATCCCATCTAAAATCTTTCTCTCCGGTAGATAACTAAAATGTACATCCTCAAAACTAATGCTTCCACCTTTCAGAACAAGAAGAGGAAGCTTTGTATTTGTATCTTTATCTCCGATATCGGATCTCTCCTCTAGCAACTGGAACATTGATTTCATATCCACAAGACTCTGAACGGTTTCGCGGTAAACACCACCAAGAAAGTAAAGAGGAAGAGACAATTGAAAGAGAAGACCATTCACCATCACCAAATCACCAACTGTCATCTCTCCATTCATAATCCCTTGAGAACACAACACCATTGCTGTTGACAAAGCTGTACTAAATATAAAACTCTGTCCAAAATCTAAAAAGGCCAGACTTTTCTGAGTTTGCAATGCAGCATCTTCGTATCTTTCGAGTAAATCATCGTACTTTCTCCCTTCGTAATCTTCGTTATTGAAATACTTAACAGTCTCATAGTTTATAAGAGAATCAATAGCTCTTGTGCTAGCATCATTATCAGCTTTATTCATAGCTAATCTAAACTTAGTTCTCCACTGTGTCACAACCAATGTGAAAGCAATGTATGATCCAACGGAAAGAGAAGTGATCAAAGCAAAAACAGGTCCAAAATTGTATGCTAATATACCTGTGACCATAGATATCTCCAAGATCGTGGGAACAACATTGAAAACCATAGCTGAGAGGATCGTGTTAATCGCGCGGCTTCCACGATCGATGATTCTATTCAAAGCTCCTGTTTCTCGATTCAAATGGTAACGAAGATCAAGATCGTGTAAATGCGAGAGAACTTTACGAGAAACAGATCGTATTGTGCGGAGAGCTACTTTAGAGAAAACAGCAGTACGAAGCTCGTTAAAAGCTGAAGATCCAGATCGAGCAATGCCATAACCAATGAGAACAGAAGAAGGAGTAGCGAATGCAGCAAGAAGATAAGGATTTGAATCAGCAATTGTTGATGAAGATGAAGAGAGTAAATCGATAGCTAATTTGAAGAGAAAAGGAACTTGAACATTCAAGAACTTAGCTCCTACGAGACACGCTAATGCAGCGATGACTCTGAATCGGAGTTCTGGATTGTCTTTCATCCATAGATAGCTTGAAATCGTGCGGAGGATCTTTTGAGACGACGTCGCGTTGATTTGTTTACGAGATTTAATGGTGGTTTGATCCTGATCTTGATTTGGAGTTGAAGTTGAAGTGGAAAAGAACACGACGCGTGCGTTGACCGGAGATGGATATGGAGATGGGTCGGAGAGGAATGCATTGATAGCTGGTGATCTTTGAATTGAGCTACGTTTGATGAAATTGTGATGATGATGAAAACCAGAGCGAAGACGATAAGAAAGAGAAGCGCGAGAGAGGAGAAACCGAGATCCCCTCATCATCGCTTCTTGTCCGAAAGAAGCACATACAATTTGGTCCGAATATATTCTTTGATTCTCTGTTTTGGTCTCTCTGTGCTACAGAGTCGCTGAAGAAGAAGAGGAAGAAGATATCAACTCGGAAATAACCGGTTTCGGTTTATTGTATTTTTTTTATTAAGATAATGAAATTAGCTATATCGGAGATAACCGGTTATGGTTTGATTGATTGCCCACTGGGCTTGAGAGAATCAGATACTACTTTTTAGCTACGGTGGTACACACCGCAGCGAATCTGAGACTAGTCTCTCACATGGACACTTTCGAAAATTCAACTCTTCTACTATATGCAAATAATTAAAAAATTGAACGGTTTATTTGGAAAGTAAAAGAAGCAACGGTCGGTTATGTCTTCCCTCCAGACGACAGGGTTTTTATTCGGAAAAAAGATTGCCAGCACCCTGAACTGTTGGAGAATACATGGCCACACATGGCAACTAAAATAACGGATCTTCACCTACCTGAAGTATATGTATATCATGGTCACATATTCGAATTATATGTCGTCATGTATTCTACACCACAGACATAAAATCTCGGTTAACTGGTCTAAAAACTCCGGGGTTGACCAATCGTTGACTCGTCGGAACCCAGTTTAAAACCGGGTCTGAGACTTATTGACCCGACCCGTTGACCCGCTCCACGTCCGCTCCAGAGTTGGGCACTCGTAATGGGCCAGAATTAAAACAAAAGGCCCATCTTCGTTGAAGCCCTAATCTAATTGATTTGTTTCATGAAAACAATAAGGCCCATCTTCATTAAAACATTGAATCGACACCATCTTCGTAAAAAGGTTTTACCTTAGATCTGTGGAGAACAAAAAATCCCCTTTTCACTTAGGGTTTATGAGAGATTGGAAGCGTTTGAAGCTAGAGAAGACGAATCCGGTGACATTGTTGGTTGAAATCGAGATAGAAGACGAAGTCGCGTTTTGATTCTCGTTCCAATGAGGTACATTTATGCTTGCGGTTTGATTTGGTAACTTGATTTGGTAACTTCATCGATCATCTTGTTCTTCGCATTAATTTCAGCTTCAACTTCTATGAACCCGCTTTTCGGCAATCTCTTCAGTTCTTCTTCTTCAAACCACCTAAAGAACTTGCAATGAGCATTACTTCCTTCCTTGTACAACTGACAGCCAAAGAACCGCCGATTTGGATTTTTCTCCGTTTTGGATTTGTAGATCTTAGCAGGCAATCCACAATCACACACTTTCCGGCCTCCATCTAAACTCCTAAAGGTACTAGAAGATCCCGAGCTTAATTCCATCTTCTCACCTCCGTCGAACTCCTTTTTCACGATGAAGAAAATAAACAAGAACCCTAAAATCGATTTTTCAGATTTTGGGGTAAAATGTGGTGGAGCAGATGTCGTGGAGCAGGTAAACGAAGATGGGCCTTTTGTTTTAATTTTGGCCCATTAAGAAGGCCCAACTCTATTATCTGAAGCGGGTCGTGGAGCAGGTAAACGTGTCGGGTCAAAAAGTCTCGGACCCGGTTTTAAACTGGGTTCCGACGAGTCAACGATTGGTCAACCCCGGAGTTTTTAGACCAGTTAACCGAGATTTTATGTCTGTGGTGTAGAATACATGACGACATATAATTCGAATATGTGGCCATGATATACATATACTTCAGGTAGGTGAAGGTCCGTTATTTTAGTTGCCATGTGTGGCCATGTATTCTCCAACAGTTCAGGGTGCTGGCAATCTTTTTTCCTTTTTATTCGGACACCACTAAAAATGGACAGCTAAACTCCTTTTTTGCTTTGAAAGTCAATTTATAATTACGTGATTAAAGATTAGATTCCCACTTGATTTTAAAATATTAATTAAACTATATAGTGATGGTATCAAACTATCAATAGCTTTAAACCGGAACTAATCAGCACCGTCCGATTTGGAAAGATGGATGGACCAAAGGACGTGTGGGCACGAGTCCCCCCCTCTGTTCACGTGGGTCCCACGTAGCCTTCTAAGTAATCTTTTTCTTAGCCGTCCGATTGAATCCCATGAAGCTGACATGTGAGCCCCCACTTCTTCAAGATATATGTATGAAAAAAATTATTTTTGAGCTTTTATTTTCCAGCCTTTTAAAAATGTTTTTATTAATCCCACGGATACAACCGTTTTGATATCAATTTTTCTTTGAAATCTATCCGATCTATATAAGATTTTGGAGTCAAATACCAACTATAAATATCTGAACATTAATACAATAATATACATTTTGAAAAATCATGTTGTCCATTATTATTTTCTGGCATCTTATCATATCGTTAATTGATTATGTAGTATTTTTTCTTATAGAATTTAAGTAATTTATACAATTATGTAATTGTGTTTTAAACTTTTAATTGAAATTTGTGAGAGTAAATGATCAATTATGTTAGACAACTGAATTTCGCATAATTGTTAAACTTCACTATATAAACTTATCAAAAATTTGCAATAAATTTACCAAAAGTCCACATATTTTGTTTTTAAATAAGTTATATAAGTGGATATTGTTAAAAGAAGAAAAACAAAAAAGAGTTTCAAGTAAATATATTCACGGAATAAAGTGATAAATTTATTACAATGTTTTTGCATAAAAATAGATAATTTTGGCGAGAAAGAAGACTAAAAGTTAGGGAAGTGAAAAAAAAAAAAAAAAAAAAAAAAAAAAAAAAAAAAGTTAGGGAAGTGAAAAGAGACAAAACCCACCCGTCGTGTCTTCTTGTTCATCCTTTGTTTCCCTTTTTCTTTCTCACTGTTTCTGCCTTACTTAAAGTCTCAATCTTTGCTTCAAATTCAACCCATCTCTTCTTCTCCCTTCCCTCACAATCAAGTCAAATCAAATCTCCAACGATTCATTTATCTTCTTCTTCTGTTCCCAATTCTCAGCTTCTTGTTTGTCGAAAATGGAAGGCGGTTCCGCTAGTGGATCAGCTTCGGCTTTGTCAAACGATGAAAATCTCGTCGTTTCTTGTGAGGATTCTTCTTCTCCTGTAGGGAATGAGCTCGAGCTTGGTCTTACGTTGAGCCTTGGTCCAAAAGGGTATCGAGATTGTAGGGTTTCTTATGCTGATGATTCTTCTTCTTCTTCTTCATCTTCTTCTTCTCTGAGCAGAGCTAGCGTAATTGCTGGGATTAAGAGAACAGCTGATTCCATGGCTGCAACTAGTGGGTGAGTAAGATTCTCCTTCTTTCATCCAATTCTAGAAAAGCTTTTACATTTTGATCAATTATGGTTTATTTTGGGATTCTTAATATCATGATTATCAATACAACCATAAATAAAGATTTGATTTTTGCTTTTTATGGGATTTGATTAGACAGAATGTTCTTTGATCACATTTATTTGAAAAGATTCGACCTTTGTTACGTAGATGACTTTGAATGTTATGTATCTTCCTGATCATTAGGTAATTTGCTTTGGTCATTTATATCTGAAAATTGAATCTTACTATCATTAGATAATTTGTAGTATTTGCTTTGGAGGGAAAGTGGTTAATCCTGTAGACTGATGCTCTTGGTATCTGATTTTGTTGAAAGTTGTCTAGATTTGTATGTTTTTAATCCTTTTTGTGTGTTTGTTTACTCTATGTTGAGTTTTTGAAACCTTTGAAAATTTCAGGCAAGTAGTGGGATGGCCACCAATAAGGACTTATAGAATGAACAGTATGGTTAACCAAGCTAAGGCTTCGGCCACTGAAGATCCAAACTTGGAGATCCGTCAAGAAGTAAACAAGAATAGAACTGATGCAACAAAGATGAGAAATTCTATGTTTGTTAAGGTGACTATGGATGGCATTCCAATTGGAAGGAAAATCGATCTGAATGCTCATAAATGCTATGAATCATTGTCAAACACTCTAGGGGACATGTTTCTGAAACCCAAATTAGGTGCGCTTTTCGACCTCGTGGCCTTTTTTGTTTGTTCCTTTCAAGTTTTTTCTTGGTATGGGAAATGAAGTGATGATTGTTTCTGTAATCAGGTTCAAGCACACTAGAAACCGATGGTCACATGGAAACACCGCTCAAGATACTACCAGATGGGTCTTCTGGATTAGTACTAACGTATGAAGACAAGGAAGGAGATTGGATGCTTGTTGGCGACGTTCCGTGGGGGTATGTATCCATATTTACTTATGCTTTTGATGTTGAATTAATGTTAGCTCTAAATTCTGTATCATGAACCTGAGTTTTACTTGTGTCTAGGATGTTTATTGGTTCCGTGAGAAGGCTCCGGATAATGAAAACATCGGAGGCTACTGGTAAAGGTACGTTTAACGATTCGATCAAATCCCGATATCTGTATCTAACTCAATTTTTTTGTCGTTGTGACCGTGTTTGTGTGAACCTTGTTTACAGCTCAAATGATATTATGAAGCAAATAATAACCTACGAAGAACCCTTTCTGTTTGAAGCAGTAATAAGACGGATCACAGATCAAAGAGAAGACAAAAACATTGTAAGAAGCTTCTTCTTCTTCTCTCCCCTTTTACAGTTTTTTTGGCTCTGCCATTTTTCTTTAGTTAGTTATATATGTTCTCTTTGTAAATCACACTTCAAAATCTATAACAAAACCCCTGTCTTGCACAAAACAAAACAAAACGGTTCATAGCAATGCACAAAGTTAATATGATCATGTAAAACAAAGGAAAGTTATTCTACATGGAATAATTAAATCAAAAGATACAGATCTCTCTCTCTCTTTCTTCTACATACAGAACACGAATCGAACGAATCAGTTTATCGGCCTCTTTTGATTCTTTCATCTCAATCCTAAAGAAGGCCATTTACAGGTGAAGTACTAAAAACCGATGTATGTTTCTCGGCCAAGCTACGACTAGTGTTCTCTTCATTACTGTTACTTTTCCTCCTCGGTTTAGCCTCTCCGAGCATCGATATCACGTCTCTCATCGAAGGTCTGTCTTTCGGGAGCTTCGTGGTGCATAGAAGAGCGATTTGTAGAACTAAAAGCATCTCTTCTTGAACATATCTGCAGTTTCCTACATCAGGATCTAATGCTTCTTCTAGTGATATGTTGTCTCTTATCTTCCTTCTCACCCACTCCACAATGTCTACTGATTCTCCAAACTCCGGCTCCAATGGTCTTCTTCCGGTTAACAGCTCCAACAATACGACGCCGTAACTGTATATATCTATCTTCTCATCAACCTTCAATGTGTATCCATACTCTGCAAAATGATCAACCAAATTGGTTAGACTAAACCGGATTGTGATCAATTTAGTAACCGGTACGGTATTTAAACCTTACCGGGAGCAATGTAACCGTAAGAACCGGCGACCATTGAAACGGTTTCTTTCTTCCTCGCCATCATCCTCGCGAGGCCAAAATCGGCGATTCTGGCGTCGAGATTCGCGTCGAGCAAGATATTGTTGGATTTGATGTCTCTGTGAATCACCGGAGGATGACAATCATGGTGGAGATAAGCTAGGCCGTGAGCTACACCTAACGCGATGTTGTAACGCGAAACCCAATCGACGAGAAGCCTCCCGGCGGCGTTTTTGCCGTGAATCGCGTCGCCGAGGTTTCCGTTGAGCATGAATTCGTATACGATCATCATGTTTTTGTCGTTGTATAAGAACCCTAAGAGCCTCACGATGTTTCTGTGTCTCAATTTCCCGAGGAGGTTTACTTCGCCGACGAAATCTCCGGTGGTTCCATCTTCGATATCGGCGGCGGATCTCCAAAGCTTCTTCACGGCCAGCACTGTGCTCGATCGTGACATTTCTGCTTTGTATACGATTCCTGTAGCTCCCATTCCGATCATGTTCGATTCTTTGATACATGCCAAGATATCAGAAGCTGTGAATCCTAGTCTATGAAACGCCATTAATCTCCAAGGCCATTCACCTTTACTCGCCGTCTCGTCGCCGCAGAATCCGTTTGAATACCATCTTTTGTATAGAGTTCTGGCAACAATGGTGAGAATCCCTAGAGCTAGAACCGATGCTATCCCAATTAACCATCCGGCGACAATTCGTTTCCCGTGGAAGCTCTTGTGACCTGATGTTGCTCCTTGGAATTTGCTACACGGTGGAAGAACGCCGCCGCAGAGACCGGAGTTTCCTCTTAGATCATCTGGATTTATGGTTTTGAGAAAGCCGTTGATAGGGACTGGACCTGTGAGCTTGTTGTAGGAGACGTTTAGGAGTTCCAGAGCTGGAGATGTTCCGATGCTCTCTGGGAGTATTCCGGTTAAGGAATTGTTGGAGAGATCGAGCACGGCTAATGCAGACATTGTCGTGATCTGTCTAGGGATCTCGCCGGTGAGGTTGTTGTTTCTTAGGTTGAGGCTTACGAGCTTCTCGCATGAAGCAATGCTGGAAGGGATAGTTCCTGTGAGAGTGTTTGATGAAAGATCGAGATTCGAGAGTGAAGGACAATCCTGGAATTGGTCTGGAACTTCGCCGGAGATAAAGTTCTCGGCGACTAAAAACGCCTGGAGATTGTGAATTGAAAGGATTGTGGAAGGGAGAGATGATCGGATCTGGTTTCTTGAGAAATCAATGAAAGAAAGCGAAACTGAATCCGAGATGTCTCCCGGGATCCCTCCGGTGATACGATTTCCGGCTAATTCGAGTCTTTGTAGCTTCTCAAGCTTGCCAAAGCCGATGGGAATTGAACCGTTTAGTAGATTGTTTTGCATCCTGACACGAACTAGTGACTGGCAAGTGGATAGAGTCGCTGGAATCTGACCGGTGAAGGTGTTGTTGAACAGAATGAGCTTGGTTAGATTTCCCTTGTTGCATAGGGTCGAAGGAATCTGGCCTGAGAAGGAGTTTGAAGAAACGTCAAGCCATTGTAATGGAGAATTCTTCCCAAGATCGCTTGGCAACTCGCCGGAGAGTGTGTTGTTCCAGAGCTCGAGGACTTGTAACTGCTCTAGATTGCTGATCCCGGGAGGAATGGAGCCGGAGAGTTTGTTGCGCATCAGGTTCAGTAGCTGCAGATTCTTCAGCTTGGTTATCTCCATTGGAATCTCGCCGATTAAGGCATTATCGGAGAAATCAAGAACCTTTAGTGTGGTAATGTTTCCGATCTCTCTTGGGATTTTTCCGGTGAAGTTGTTCTCATACAGGAGAAGCGTCTCGAGTGACTTGAGCTTCCCGAGCTCCGACGGAATCTCACCACTGAGCTTTCCGATGGCCAAATCGAGGTACTTGAGGCTGATTATGTTTCCAAATTCCGGTGGAATCGGACCTTTGAATTCGTTGTAACCAAGAATGGCGGTTTCAAGTGAAAGGAGCTCGCCGAGAACGCTTGGTAACTCACCAGTGAGATTGTTTCCGGATAATCCGAGAAATCTCAGCTTCTGTAGATTCTTGAATGAACTTGGAAGTGACCCTTGAAAGAAATTCCCTCGGAGATCAAGAACTTCTAAAGAGACTAAGTTCCCGAGATCCTCCGTGAGATTTCCAATGAGATTGTTCCCTGAAGCATTGAGATGAACGAGCCCAAGTGATTCATTTCCAAATAGAAAAAGACTCCCTGAGAATGAATTCTGGCTGATGTCTATAGATTTCAACGGAGGGATCGATTTCGGGAGCAGCGACTCGAATCCGTTGCATGAGATGTTAAACGAAACAAGGCTTGTCAGCTGTCTGATCGAATCTGAGATTTTACCCGTGAGATTCATCCCCGACAGGTCGAGCTTCTCAACAAAGCCATGGGAGTTGCACCGAACACCGGTCCAGTTACAATGATCGCCAGTTTCTGAAAGCTTCCAGTCTTTGAGAAAGTTGAGAGGATCCACAAGAGTTGATTTTACCGAGAGCAAAACAGAGAGCTCGTTGACATTGTCGATGGAAGCTAAAACAGAGGAAGTAGAACCAATGTAACAGTAGTAGAAGAAGAGAACCATAATCTTCATCTTCAACTTCATCTTCTTCCTCTGTCTCAGCAGCTTCAACTAAAACTTGACTCCTTAGTTCATTACCAAGAACAAGACTAGTGAACATGCAAGGAGGTGGTGGAGGAAGAAGAGTATAGAATAAGAAGAAAACTCGGCAAGTATATGCTTGCTCTGTATTTATTATGTTATACTATATATATGTGATATATAAACACACAGAGATATAAAATGAATCTTGGTTTTATATGGATCTAGTGATCAAAGAGTGTAGGGTTACATGTTCTAAGAAAAAAAAACAAGATCTTGGAAGTATTTGAGAAATCTCTCAAGACATCGAACATGTGAAGAGAGAATGTGTTTTTTAACAATTACAACTAATCCAAAAAATGTGTTCGGTGTTTTAAAATTAAATTTAGTCAACTATTGATTTGCTGTATAGTGATTTGTGAATGTGCCATAGTTAGCTTAAGCTTAATCTAATAGTACTAAATTACTAATATAATTAATTTGTTTATACATACACTTGGTGTGTGGCATAGAGGTAGCTTATGCTTAACTTCATTCTAATTCAGCTTTTCTAGAATGTCTTTATCTATTTTCTCGCCTTTTTCTTTTTGTGTCTTTTAATGCTTGCCTTCTAAGGAAAAAATATATATCAAAAATACCATTTGCACTTAGCTCTTAGCAAATATTCGTTCACATCACACATTAATGATTAATCCGTGATTATATTGTAAATCTGGTATTTAGGATTTAGCCACCGAGGTGAACGTTCGAAGCATCAGAATGGGTGACCTGCACATGCGATTAAGAAGAACAAATGATCCCATTACCCATATTTAATTTCAGATAGGTCCAAATAATTATATTACATATTTAATATTAGCAATAATGAAGATGATCCCACGATCAATCTTCACGTTTCTTCTTACCCCTTTTGAATTTCGAAAAGTTTCTTTCTATTTGGTTAGTTAAAAAAAGAAAAGAAGATCGAGCCCACCTCATGGCCATTATATGAAAAAACATATTTCTTTAATTCAATCATAGTTACCATGATTTTTTTACAAAAATGTGAATATTATAATGTATGCCACTGCAGAGAGTGCAGGCTTGTTACTGTTCTTCCATTTGCATGATTGATTAGACAAGAATCTTTCCATGTTACAGGTTTTAATAAATATGCCAGTGTAACTATATGTATATAATACTATTAGTGATAACTCATCATAACAGTATATAACAAATAAAAACTAAATAAAGTGATTAATTGTATCACTACTTGAATGCATCAGCAAATAGTCCCTAATGAAAATGCTACTTTCTGAAACGTTCTTCAGATTAAAAATTAATGCTAATTTCATAAACTTTCTACCTCATGTCTAAAAGCATGTGTAGACGTATATATCTAAAGTCAGTGCCAATGCCTTTAAGGTAAAGAAAGGGGAAATAAGTGAAATGAAGACGGAATAAAAAAAAGTACGTCAAAGTTAGGAGAGAATATAGAACTCTTTATATAGAGTAGAGTGCCCAATTAGATTTATAGCATAGCAAAAAAAAATTTCATTAAACTTTTGAAAAAGAAATTAAACCAAACGTAAAAACAGTGACAAACTCAAGTTACTCAACAGAACTAGAAGATGTTTAAAGAACTCAAACCATAACTTCATATTTTAGGAACAATAATATCTATCAAGAACAACTTATCAATTTGATAAGGATAAGATAAATCAAATGCTAAATGATTTATAGGAAAATGGCAGAGAAATGCACACGCATATTCATCAAATGAATTATTGTAATACTCCAACAATAACCCACTCCTCTTACTGATTTCATGTTTCCATCCTTCTTATTACACTAAACACAAACTGTTGCTTCACATGCACTCATGTGGACCTGTCTATTATATAACTCTTTTTTTTTTCTTTCTTTCTTATTATTTGTTGTTTTTAGAAAATAAAACATACGGATCCGTAGTTAAAATTTTCATTTGCTTCTCATCCGATCCTTTCGATCGCTGGATAAATGGTTTAAATTCTACGATATATTACTCACTCAAGTAATTTTCATAATTGGTAAATAATTTTTATAATTAGTAGAATACACTTTCAGTTTTGAGTCTTTACCCAAAATAGGAAAAGAAAATAAAAATTAGTCTACACCAGAAAAGAATATTGGATGGTTTATAGAAGATGTATAGAGAGTTATAGACTATAGATCATCATAAATAAATAAAAACACTTACAAGAGTCAAGAGGTCGAAGGATTAATGGGATGCATGTGGATCATCACCTTAATGACTTACTTTACTATTAATTTTTGTATTATTAGAAAGAGAGAAACCTAATCCCACAACAAATAAGTACATTAAACTCTTTGCAAATGGTTTTTTGTGGGTTTTATTATTAACAACAGTACTAATTAATTTAACAAGTATGTATGCTGACGAATCGTCACATGGCCATGGGATGGGATTCGTTATGGCATCACAGACTCGAGAGTCCAGCTTTTCTTTACGATCTGCACACATGTGCCACGTGTGCTTCATGCTCAATCTCGAGTCAGCGTTAAACATTCTGAGCCAGCAAGAGTCTTTCTCCCGTGAAGCCAAAATGGGCTTATTATAAAACATATTGATAATTATTGGGCCTAAAGATGAAAGCCCATATAGTGAAACGATGACAGTATCCAACAAATGAAGGAACGGCTTTGGTAGTGACACGTCACGATTCTCCCGCCACCACACCAGAGCTTTTGCTTCATCTCCTTCTTCCTCTACTCTCTCTGTGTGTCTCTAATCTCACACAGACAACACAGAGATGGCTTGTGTTCGGTCGATTGGTTCTCTAACTTCTGTCACTCATTCTCCACGAAATGTTCCTCGCTCAGGTACGCGAAAACCCCCTTAATTTCGCCTTTTGAGTCTTTGAATTAGTAGTTAAATCTTCGTGTTGCATGTAGCTTGATTATGGATAATCTCCTGTAATTTTCGGTATAATGCTGCTTCCAAAACTGTAACGAGTAATAATCCAGCGCTAAATCGAGTCTCTTATCCGATTTGACGAACGAGTGGTTTAGGTAGTAACTTCATGTAATCTGATCATGGTTTCATAGTAAATGTAGATTAGGGTTCATGTTTCAATTGAAATGGAAAAAAGATTGGATTTTTACATAAATCGGTATCAGTTAACTTCAAGTGTGTAATTAAGAACCATGGTTTGATTGATCCGTTTTTATTTGCAGGCATTGTCTTATCTTCATGCTCTGTTCTTCCCATCAAAAGCTCCTCTTTCACTGGCTCCCCTGTTTCTCTCCCGCGGGCTCAACCCTCATCCCGAACAGCTCTAAGACCGAGGAAACCCGCCTCTATCACGATGATGGTAAAGCCGACGCTCCAATTCATTCAAGGGACGGATGAGATGACCATCCCTGATGTTAAGTTGACTCGGTCAAGAGACGGAAGCAACGGAATGGCACTCTTCTCTTTCGATCAGCCATCGGTTTTCGACTCTAGCGGTGAAGTCGGGGAGATTACAGGATTGTACATGATCGATGAGGAAGGTGTGATCCAATCGACGGATGTGAACGCGAGATTCGTGAATGGGAAACCGGAAGGGATTGTGGCGAAACACATAATGCGAAGTCCGAAAGAATGGGACAGGTTCATGAGGTTTATGGAGCGGTACTCAGACCAGAATGGCTTGCAGTTTGTTAAGAAGCAATGAGGTGGGAGACACAATGAGCAAAAAACATGTGTATTACATTAAATTTTTTCACTCTTTTGATTTATAATCTTTTACTCTCCTAGTTTTGATCTTTACTTAAGTATCAACTTACAATGGTAGAGTTCGTTTAATTATTCAAGATTTTGTTCTGATTTTAATCTAGATAATTCCTAAGGACTACGAGAAAGTGAGAATTAAGATGATGAGTTTCTTACAGCGTCTGAGATCAATCTACATGTCTCGATCAGCTCTTCCACCTTCCAACTCAAGGATATCTCCTTTTCAATAAAAGAATACCATGAACCTAAGTCAACCAATAATTTAACAAGTAACCAAAATCATTATAATAATTATCACGTTAGTTTTACAATTTCTGACCATTTTGGAACCACTTACCAATTTATTTGTTATATCCAATGTTCAAAAAATCGTTAGACGGTACATCAGTTAATGGAGATTTAAGTGGGATCTAGACGTTAGAGCATTATTTACTTATTTTAAAAATATTTTTCATAATTTTATAACTAAATAGTAGTTATAAAATATGAAATGTTGAAAACTTACCTATTCGAACTTATTATATATATTCATACCTAGTTTATATGAAAACTTAAATAGCTTGCTCCCAATAACTAAATTTTTTGAGAATAGTTAATTCATAATTTATAATTTTAGTAATAAGTATTTTCTTTTTGTTTATTGCTTTATTTTGTTTACTTATCCAAAACAATGTCATATTAAAAAAAAACATACACTAAACCGGCTAATTTGACTAATTAGTACTGATTTTGAACGCATAAATCAATCGCTATTGAAACTGCTCTTTTTATTTTGGTTGGAAAGTAAATTACTTATATACTTTTACTTAAGGATCACTTGCTATTAGATTTTTATTTATTTTAAAAAGAACTATCATTTATTAGTTAATATAACATAGGCAACCGAATAAAACATGCGTTAAATAAAAGATACAAAATTATGATGATAATATGCTAGTGACTATTATTTGTTTCAAAACATTCAGCGCACCGAAGTACTTATTAGCAGAAGATGATGGAGCTTCTTGCTCATATCTGTTCACAGATTGGCGTTGAAGGTATGAGAGGTATAGAAGTCCGCCAAAGGTGGAGGCAGCTTTGAGATTGTTAAGCAGGACTCACATTCTCGTTACCAGAGGCATGCTCATCAAGACAAGTCTTTAGAACCGCAGAGCCAATCATCGGTCGTCAGAATTAGCGAAATAGTTCATCAAGACATGATATTTTCTGTCTCGTTGACCCATATGCTACTTGACATTGTGATGTTTTTTTTTCTCAAATCTCAATAATTGTTGTTTGACGTTGAGGTTATAAGCTGTATTAAAGCTATTCCTATACTAAGATTTGGATTGTTACAAAATTTTGTTGATAATCTGCTAGTGACTATTATTTGTTTCTTAACATTCAGCGCACGGAAATACTAATCCAAAAAACTATTGATTGATGTGTTAGTAAATTAAACAAAAAAAAAGATAATCATCAATTCATCATCCACCACTAAAAAAAACAATCAAGAAATTGCATCGTAATTAGCATCAGTTCTTACAACAGATCAGTGTAGATAAAATAAAAGACATTGTTCTAAATGTAGAACAGTCGGAAAGAAGAAGAAAAAGAACACTAAAAACCATCAAAGTGGAGGGGCTGTGGGTTATTGGAAGCCTTTCAACTCTAGTGCTTGTCTTGCCTTATGTCTGTAGCTTGACTTAGTTGCGCCGCGGTATCTCGAGAATCTCATCATGAGATTATAAATTTTTAACGAAAAGAAAAAATGTTTCATATAAATAAGATTAAAGAATTGTGAATGATTACATTGTGAATTTTGTAAATTGTAAATTTTAACGAAAAAAAAATACTCTACTAAAGTCGCTTCTAATCCTAATAATATAATGATTCCATTGTGAATTTTGCTACTATATATAGTCTCGTAATTAACCGTGTTGGTGTTTTATATGATTAATTGATTATATATCATAGGTGTTTAATCGAATTTAACCAAAACCGTGTAAAAGTGAATAGAAACCGAAACTAAACCGAACTTGAGCATATCCCGGTTTAATTTGATTACTACATGACATTACTATATATAGGCCAAGAGTCGTTAGGAATGATGTTTATTATGGAGAGAAACAGATCAAAGAATCGTTCCCTTTTGATCATGGCAGCGACATTGATCTCTTCTTTGGCCGTTCTCTTACCGTTAACGTTACTAGCTCCGTCAATTTCCATCAAAATCTCTCGAATCGACGTCATCGGCTGGATTTGTAACAACGGCACCGTATCCCACGAAGAGGCTTACCGGAGATCTTATCAGATTAACCTCGACGCGATCAGAGATGATATGAGGCATGTCAAGTTTGGAACTCATGAACACGGAGATTCTCCGCAGAGAATGTACGTTTTGTCGCAGTGTGTTAGCGATCTCTCATCCGATGAATGCAATTTATGTTGGTCACGTGCTACGGATCTCCTCTCTCAATGTTTTCCGGCCACCGGTGGTTGGTTTCACCTTGACGGTTGTTTCGTTAGAGCTGATAATTATAGCTTCTATCAAGAGCCTGTTTCTCATCAGGACACCAAGGTATAATAATAATTAGATGGTTAGGTTTTGTTAGAAATCTCACATCTAAAATATGATGTGACATGAACCAATCCACTCATTATCAATTAGTTTTGAGTCGGAAGCCGATGAAATTTAACATATTTGGATCAATTATGCACACACTTGTCTAATAGCGAACTTAGACCTAGGATTTAGTGTGGATTTTAGCTTAAGAAATCCGATTTTGAATAAAATTTAACTAAATTATCCGAATATGTCGACCATTTTGGGAATGTAGATATGTGCTAGTGACAAGGAGAAGTCTGCAGAATTGAAAGGTTTAGTAAAGGAAGTGACCAAATCCATTGTTGAGACGGCTCCATATAGTCAAGGTTTCTCTGTGGCTAAAATGGGAACCCGGGATTTAACGGTTTACGGGTTGGGAATATGCTGGCGGACGCTAGATGATGAGTTGTGCAAATTATGCTTAGCAGATGGAGCTTTATCGGTTACGAGCTGTGTACCATCCAAAGAAGGTTTTGCCTTGAATGCAGGCTGCTACTTGCGTTACTCTAACTATACATTTTATAACGAACGCGGATTGCTTTCTATGAGTATGTCTCTGTCTCCTAACTCTTGTGTGATTCTTCAAATTGTGATTTAGTCCTTTAATGATCTTAACTTTTGTTTTGTTCTCTTCTTGTAGATTTAACAAAAGAAAACTTTGTGCATATATTCGTTCTTTCTATGGTGGGTGTGTTGGCTATTGCAGCTGGATCTTGGTGTGGAAAATGCATCTATATAAGAACTAGTCCAAAGAAGAAGCTTAAAGGTAAGTTCCTTGTGTTGAACTAATTAAGACTATATTGTGCCAAAGGTAAGTTAGCTCATACATGAACTAAGATTAAAAAGTTTCACTTGTTTGGACATCTAAGGATAGAGAAGGAGTCAGAGTCTATATGTAATGACTCACACTTGATGAGCTTTGAGTATTCAACTCTTAAAAAAGCAACCAACAACTTCAATGAGAGTTGCAAGCTTGGTGTTGGTGGATATGGGGAAGTCTTCAAGGTTTCTCTCTTCTCTATGTAACTATCTTTTTTTTTTTTTTTTTTCTATGTAACTATCTTTCTCTACATCTTACTACTATTTGAATTGTTAAAATGCCTTATTATTGTATTTTTGACAGGGAACTCTGTCTGACGGTAGAGAAATTGCGATTAAACGGCTGCATATAACAGGAAAGAAGCCACGGGACGAGATCCATAATGAAATAGATGTAATTAGTAGATGCCAACACAAGAACTTGGTTAGGCTCTTAGGTTGCTGCTTCACTAACATGAATAGTTTCATTGTTTATGAGTTCCTCGCCAACACAAGCCTAGATCAAGTCTTATTCAGTAAGATCTCTTCACCGAATCACGCATGTTTAGACAATGCATATTTCTTAAAGTTTCTTAACTTTTTTGCTTGACATGGAAGTGAAGACCCCGAGAAGAAGAAAGAGCTCGACTGGAAGAAGAGGCGGACAATAATCTTAGGAACAGCTGAAGGTTTAGAATATCTTCATGAAACGTGCAAGATCATTCACAGAGATATCAAAGCAAGCAACATTCTGTTAGACTTAAAGTACAAACCCAAAATTTCAGATTTTGGATTAGCCAAGTTTTATCCAGAAGGTGGCAAAGACATCCCTGCTCCTTCTCCTTCTCCTTCTTCAATCGCGGGCACTCTGTAAGTCCTTTCAACACAAAGACTTTATTAGAGGTCCTTATTATTGTTTTGATTTAGAATGTGAAATGGAATAAGTGCATTGTTTACAGAGGATATATGGCTCCTGAATACATTAGCAAGGGAAGACTAAGCAATAAAATTGATGCTTATAGCTTCGGAGTCCTTGTTCTCGAAATAACCAGCGGTTTTCGAAACAACAAATTCCGCTCTGATAACTCCCTTGAAACCTTAGTCACTCAAGTGAGTCTCCATCTTCATCACATCAATCTTTTAACTCCTTAGCTCTGATTTACCTTCATAACCCATTTTCTAACCTTTTAATTTCTTGAATAGGTTTGGAAATGTTTTGCTTCAGACAAGATGGAAGAGATGATAGACAAAGATATGGGAGAAGAGACAGATAAGAGAGAAGTGAAGAGAGTAATGCAGATTGGTTTGTTGTGCACACAAGAGTCTCCACAGCTTCGTCCAACGATGTCTAAGGTTATACAAATGGTTAGTTCCACAGATATTGTATTGCCCACTCCTACTAAACCACCTTTCCTTCATGATTCCATGTAAAAATTCATGTATAATTTATATAGATCCCTCACTTTTTTATTGTTAATAACATGTTACAAGAGAAAACAAGACAACAACAAATAATCATTGTGTATTTCGTAAAATAACTATTAAAATTTATGTTTATTTTTCTTCTAGTTATGTAGATAGATTAAAAATATACATTTTGAAATTTATCCCAATATTAATCAGATGAACAAGTATAACTTTAGGAGAATACACCTATATATGCTTATATATGATTAATCACAAAATATGGTACAATGTGATAAAATAAATGAATGAGATAAGACTGGTATGGTGAATGTATCATTGTCTGATAAGTTAGTGCTTTGTGTTGTTATTTGTGGAAGATTTGTACCGTTCCAACCGTCCATTACTTTTTTTGAGAAAAATGTGTTGAGAGGGCAATTTTCAAATTTGTAATTTGCCACTTATACATAATACCTTTGATTTGATTTGTCAAGTAGGTAGTTCTTACTTCTTACTACATCGATGACATGCACTTTAATTTAGCTGTCATTTTAGAGAAGAAATTACAAAAAGTTATCATTGTACATTGTCTTAAGTGGGTGGTGAACAGTTTACATCAACGGTGACGATGAAAAGTGTAACAGTGAATATAGAATAATATACTGTTAACACATGATAGTGTAAAGTGAACATTTGTATAACGAACAAGTGTGTGGTGACCGTGGATGGTAAACAATAATATACTATCACCAGTGTAAAGACATTGTTGTATTAATGTGACCCATGTGACGAAGGAATGTAAAAATCATAGATCATCACTTTGGCTTAATCTGTTGGCTAATAGAGTATATGAATAAATAACCTTAAATTGAAAACAAAATAAGAAAAAATATCTAAAAAGAATTACGAGAATGTAACAAAAGTCCAAAATGTAGATGCACACATGTGTTACATGTTCTATAAAATTTAATTTGTGGTGTATCATTTATGAATAAAACCATAAATAGAAAAACAAGAAAATATCTAAGGAAAAAAAAAATATTGCTAAAGTCAAAAATAGATGTACGCATGTGTTATTCGAGTATCCCAATTCTTTCGAAGGTATTAATATTTTATATTTATGATAAATTTTACAGCTATTATGATAGAGAGTGACTTATTCTACTATATAAACCCTCAAACGTTAGACCATTGAGTCATGCAATTCACAAAGCTTCTTTAATACCATACATACACATTCTTACAACAGCTACCACTACCTTTCGAGATGTAAGCATCTCCTCTAATCTCTACCTTTTTCATTATAAAATTAAAATATTTATAAAAAGTTACACATCATCATCTTTCATAATGTGTTACAAATATTAATCTAATATAATAAAAAAACGCAAAATGTTTTAAACCCAACATATGCATGACAGGGAATTTGGTAACGGCAACGGCTACAGCAACGGCAACAGCTACAGCAACGGCAACAGCTACACCAACGGAAACGGCTACACCAACGGCAACGGCAACGGCAACGGCAACGGCAACGGCTACACCAACGGCAATGGCAACGTTAATGGTAACGGAAAAGTTAACGGAGCGAAGGTGATAAAGATGAAACCAATGGACAGTGAGTTGCTGAGAGAGCAAGGTCACATAATGGTCGATTTTATTGCTGATTATTACAAAAATCTTCAAGACTCTCCTCAAGATTTCCCTGTTCTTTCCCAAGTTCAGGTTTCTTATCTTCTCAACTTTTCACTACAATGTATATAAATGTAACCAGTCATTAATTATTTGTGTGTGTGTATACATATTTAGAGTGTTTTTTTACTATATAACAAATTTTTTGGTTATTTGTCGCAGCCTGGTTATCTCCGTGACATGTTGCCTGATTCAGCACCTGACCAACCTGAATCGTTGAAAGAACTTCTCGACGGTACGTGAAATATTTTTTATTTTAAAGCAAAATTGATAACATGAACTTACAAAACAATTTTTATATATGTTAATTAAATGAGATTTATAATTTATAGACGTTTCGAAGAAGATAATGCCGGGGATAACTCATTGGCAAAGCCCGAGTTACTTTGCGTACTATGCATCAAGCACGAGTGTGGCCGGATTCTTGGGAGAGATGCTCAACGCCGGCCTTAGCGTCGTCGGTTTCACTTGGCTCACTTCTCCTGCCGCTACTGAGCTGGAAATCATCGTTCTTGATTGGCTTGCAAAATTGCTACAACTCCCTGACCATTTTCTCTCCACAGGTTCTTCCTTAATCTCATCTCATTCTTCTAAAAATTGAAAGAGTCCACTAACACATCAGTCGATCGAGTTTTATGAACTAAAGAATAAAGAAAACTCGACGGAGTTTTAAAATTAAGTCATTTGATTTAAATAACTCCAATCTTACTATTTTCGTAAGAGAACAAAAAATTGATTAATAGAAACTTTTCCTTAAAGTGTTATTTTTTATAGCAAAATATTGTAGTACATTTTTACATATATCCACTTTTTAGACAATGATGTAGATGATTTATATCGCTAAGTCTACACTTATTGCAGCAAACTGTGCTTCCATCAATGGAGTGTAACTCTCTTTATCTAATTCAAGTCTAAGTGACCCAACGTTTTTATGACCTCATACGTACATATATAACAAAAAAATTATTACAATACATGGCAATTATATCAAATGAATAGGACATTCAATTGGGACCATATAGTAGTAATAAGGCTGTTCAAAAAAAGGAAGAAATAATGTAGTAACAAAAAAAAAACCGAGCATTTAATTCAATTATTTAATATAAATGAATTATTAAAAAGGAAATGGAGGAGGAGTGATCCAAGGGACAGGATGTGAAGCAGTGCTTGTGGTAGTGTTAGCTGCTAGAGACAGGATTTTGAAGAAAGTTGGCAAAACATTACTTCCTCGACTTGTTGTTTATGCCTCTGACCAAACCCATTCTAGTTTCCGAAAGGCTTGTCTGGTTGGTATATAGTAGGGAATCTAGTTTACTTTTTGTTTAAATATCAATTCACAGGTTAATAATTAATCATGTTAACTGTGATGATGTTTATAGATTGGTGGAATACATGAAGAAAACATTAGGCTGCTCAAAACTGATTCTTCCACCAACTATGGAATGCCTCCAGAATCACTTGAAGAAGCTATTTCTCATGATCTCGCTGAGGGTTTTATCCCTTTCTTCATTTGTGCTACTGTAATTTTCTTACACACATATACTAAATAATTGAATTGAACAATTATTGTTGTTAGTTGTTACCAATACTAGTTATAGATTGTGTACCTCTTGATAATTATCTCGTCCATTGCTAAATATGCAAGTGTGGGATTTTCAGGTTGGGACAACGTCTTCAGCGGCGGTTGATCCTTTGGTCCCATTGGGGAAAATTGCAAAGGTAATTAAACATATATCATAAATAATTCACTAATTTGTGGACTGCATCAACCAAATTTTTAATCAACTTTATCTACCGCATTGATCACACTGCTTCAACAACTGCAATTATTAGACATTTGAAATTTTGACTATAATAAATTTAATGCGGTGAAACAAACATTGTACTATGTGACTAAGACTATAGGAGTATTATAGATTACATGTCAATGAAAAAAATTGGTATGTTGTGTAGAAATACGGGATATGGATGCACGTAGATGCAGCTTATGCAGGGAATGCGTGTATATGTCCAGAATATCGAAAATTTATCGACGGGATTGAAAACGCAGACTCCTTTAACATGAATGCTCATAAATGGTTATTTGCTAATCAAACTTGTTCACCTCTTTGGGTTAAGGTATGTTTCATAGATCTCATTTTCCTTAATTTATACTGGTGTTACTAATTAAATAATCTCGTTTTTCAGTTATTGTTCTATTTAGTCAATTTATATTAATTACTAATTTTGTTTATATTGGAATCAAACAGGATCGATACTCTCTCATTGATGCTCTCAAAACGAATCCGGAGTACCTAGAATTCAAGGTCAATGTCTCTCATGTTCATCATTTTATTACAAACATAAAAGAACCAATATCTTTATATATGGAAGATCTAATGAAGCGTAACAAGCGTTATATATCATATAATATAGATATATAACTAAAATGTGTAAGAAATGAACAATTTTTATAAGACTTTATCATTCATGAACATATTAAAATCGTTAACAAAGTATATTTTAAGACGGTAAAATATGTTGAGTGAGATGATCTTAATTATATTTGATTCAATGGAAATATCAGGTTTCTAAGAAAGATGCGGTCGTGAATTATAAAGATTGGCAAATTTCTCTCTCTCGGAGATTCAGGTTCTTCATATACGTCCGTTGTATTTGTTGGTCCTATATAAGTCTAATAAACTTACATATTATTCACGAATTTGATTTATACAGATCGTTGAAGTTATGGATGGTTTTACGGCTCTATGGCTCAGAGAACTTGAGAAACTTTATAAGAGACCATGTCAATCTCGCTAAGCGTTTTGAAGATTATGTAGCTCAAGATCCACATTTTGAGGTTATATTTACATTTGAAAAAAGTTTCAGAACATCAGTGAATGCCACATCTATTCTATATAACCAAATCTAATTAGTAAAACTTTTTTGTTTGTTTCTTATACATATAAAGGTTGTCACTACTCGGTACTTTTCACTCGTTTGCTTTCGCCTTGTGCCTGTTGACGGCGATGAAGACAAGTGTAACGAACGGAACCGTGAACTGCTTGCCGCGGTTAACTCCACCGGCAAGATCTTCATCTCTCACACGGTGAGTTGTTGTATGAAGAAATAATGAATGTGTTTGGTTTGAGTGATATATTTTCAAAGATATAAAATGAAAAATGAAATTTAACTAAGCATTATTATTATTAACAGGCTCTATCGGGAAAATTTATATTACGATTTGCTGTTGGTGCACCGTTAACGGAGGAGAAGCATGTCACTGAAGCATGGCAGATCATACAGAAACATTCCTCCAAATTTACCCGCAACGGCCATTATTAAGAATATTTCAAAATAAACCACTATCTTTTTATTTCGCTCAATAAAGTCCTCCTCTATCTTCAACGATTTCTGATGGAGGGGCCATTTTTATAATATTTGTTGAATTTGGAATAAAACTTATGAAATCTTTTTATTGTAATTTGCTCAAGTTGAAATTAATAAAAATTGTCTTACTTTTCATGTGTGGACAATCATTCGATATCACAATATATTGAGAGGTACGAAATTATCGGGATTGGGTATGAGATTAGTTTATTGGATTTGGGCCTGGCCTTATTGTTAATTATTAAATTAATTGACATATTTACCCTCATCATCAAATATACATTTTTTTATTCATATCTTCTTCGATTCAAAACCCTAATTCAATTTTTCTATTATCTGCCTGCTAAAGTCAATGATTCTCACTAAATCAGAATTTTCCTGGAAAATCTGAAGAGAAAAATCCTTCTTTGTTTGATGTGTTCTATCTTATGAGACATGTATTTTGAATTTCGACTGGATTTTATTTGCGAAACTTTGTCCGAATTCCGATGACTTCGATGAATCATATCGTTGTAGATGTTAGTTCAGACGAAGATGATGATAAACCAGTAGATTACTCTTATTTGTTTGACGAAATTCTGGGAATTTCCAATGAGAAGAAACCCATCAAAAGTACTGATTTGTTGAATGAAGACGACGACGATTGTGTGATTTTGGATTGTGATCCTACGGCGAAGGAGACTGCGATTGAAACTTGTGGAACTGATGAAGTTCTTGTAGTTGGCCAAAAGGGTGAGGTAAATTTTTTATCTTTTTTTTTTATTTCTTTGAAAATTCTTCCCAATTGTTACTAATTTTCTCAAAGTTTGGAACTTTATGCCCTAATTTTGAATTTGGTTCATCAAGTTTGAGTATTGTCTACTTGAGAGAGTAAATTGAGTTTATATATGAAGGTTTTAGTATATGCAGCCACTTAGTATAGGATTTGATTCTTCAAAGTGTATAGAATGAAATCATCGAATTGGTTTTGCTCTGTTTACATCTTTATACAGTTTGTAGTAACAATGTCTAAGTAATTTATTTTTGGTTTTGCAGATAGCTTGTAGGGATTTTCCGCATCCGCGACATGCTTGCGCTAAGTACCCGTTCAAATCCACATTACACCAGACGTTTTGTGAGATGGTAAGAATGTGACGTTGTTTCTTTGTTCTTTTTTTTTGAATCTCCTGAAGTGATGATGCTTTTCTTGCTAATGAACTTTCTTTGTTTTGCTTTTCTGTTTGTTTACAGTGTCACTGTTATGTTTGCGACACCCGTGCTCCGTGTCCTTATTGGTTTAGTGGTGGGATCTCCAACATTGATCACTGTCATGCCAATGATAAAGAGAAGACATGGAAGAATCAACGGGAATGCATCAGGACCGAAAATATGCTACCTCGAGCTGTTTCGAAACCTGCCTCGACCAAATTACAATTTAAAAGGCCTCCACGGCGTCGATCTGTACTTGTACCTGTACCGTCACTTCATAACTCGTCTTCCCCTGGAACCCAGTTTGGAATCCGGGCTTGCTCCACAGCTACTAGGGTTGCAAGTCGCCCAAAAACATACACCAGACCAGGTAATAGAACCGAGCAATTAAGAACCCTCCAGCAAAATCCCAGGTTACAACCTCAGGCTGTGCAGTCATTACCAAATCACAGAGGCGGCTCTAATAATGGTAATCCAAGTCCTCAAGCTGTCCCTTCCAATCCATACGTATGGACTCGAAGACCAAGTAAAGGCGTTTATCCTCCGGAAAACAGTGTAAAGAACATTTCTCAAGGCTCACAACCTACCCATTATGCTCCTCCCATGGCTTCACAAGGCGCACAACCTACCCTTTATGCTCCTCCCATGGCTTCACAAGGCGCACAACCTACCGATCATGCTCCTCCCATGGCTTCACAAGGCTCACAACCTACCCGCTTTGCTCCTCCCGTGGCTTCACAAGGCAATGCACAGCGGATTGTTACTGGTTATATCTCAACTGTGCCGGTATCTCACAGCAAAGAGTACGCAAAACAGTTTAGCCGGAATATGTATTCTGCTAATGTTCAGACGAGTGCAGTTTCGGCTATGACTCCTAATCCTCTGGCGAACCAGCAACAACAACATCAACAATCAGGAAGAGGTACCGATAGAGTATTGTCCGAGTTTGAAGACTGGCTCTTGGACGACTCAACCTTGTCTTGTCCCTTGTCAGGTGAAGACAATGCTGCTTCTACATTCAAAATCGATTTCGAAACCTTCTTGAATGATTGAAACGTTAGGATAGTCTAGATTTCCTAACTTAATTGTAGACTTAAGCTGTACAGAGTAGTATTAGTCAAGAGTTTCTTGTTAGGAAGAGTCTACAAAACATTTGTGATAAGATTTTTGAAATTTGATGAAATTTTTTTGTTAGTTGCAGATTTGTTGTGATTAGTAGAATGAGATAATATTTTTATGTTTCACACAACTTAGTTAAATTCCCCCTCGCTTAAATTAAAATTCTTTGTTTGGTTCTTTTGGATTTTCTAATTTATTTTACCTAACCAGATTAAAATTTGTCATAAATTAATTCAATGGTATTTAGTATTTACTACTTACCAATCAGAATTCATCCATTGAAAGAAAGTAAATTAACCTTTTTTTATAGTCAAAGATATATTTGTTCCCAAAAAAAAAACTATTAGAAATAGGAAAATAAAAATAGTCCACAAATTTTTTAATGTTTGGGCAACTACAGTCCACACATTACAAAACGTATTTTTGGGAAAATTAAAAAATTAATTACTTCGGAAAAGAGCAGTAATATATTTTAATTACGTTTTTTTGGTTGGTTAGCCGTTGCCCGTTATGAGGAAGAAAAGTCAAAGTAAACACCAACAATAGAGGAATAAAACTGTTACAGAATCTTAAATTTTATAGTAATATCATTATTACTATAGAGAAAAATGAAAATAGAATCTGAAAGATTCAAATTCTCCGATAAAAGATTCAACAGAATCTCTTGAATCTCTCTACCTTCCTCCTCTATAAACTCTAATCTCTCTCTCTCTCAATCTTTGTTCATTTCTCACAAATCCTCTTGTAACAATGGCGACGAGTCTCTCTTGCTCTGCCTCTGATCTGATTCCTTTACTATCAGGTGGAGCCAATGCCACCGCCGCAGCCGCCGCCGCTGAATACATCTGCGGGAGATTCGACACAGTCGCCGGGAAATTCACCGACGCCGCTTACGCAATCGACAACACTTACCTTCTCTTCTCCGCTTACCTCGTTTTCGCGATGCAGCTCGGATTCGCCATGCTCTGTGCCGGATCTGTACGTGCTAAAAACACGATGAACATTATGCTCACGAATGTCATCGACGCTGCAGCCGGAGGTCTCTTCTATTACCTCTTCGGTTTCGCTTTCGCTTTTGGATCTCCTTCTAATGGATTCATCGGAAAACATTTCTTTGGAATGTATGATTTTCCTCAACCTACTTTTGATTATCCTTATTTTTTATATCAATGGACTTTCGCTATCGCCGCCGCCGGAATCACCAGTGGTTCGATCGCGGAGAGGACTCAGTTCGTGGCGTATTTGATCTACTCTGCTTTTCTCACGGGTCTTGTTTACCCGATTGTGTCGCATTGGTTTTGGTCTTCTGATGGTTGGGCTTCTCCGGCTAGATCTGAGAACCTTCTGTTTCAATCAGGTGTGATTGATTTCGCTGGTTCTGGTGTTGTTCATATGGTTGGAGGTATTGCTGGTTTATGGGGAGCTTTAATTGAAGGGCCAAGAATTGGTCGGTTTGGAGATGGGGGTAAACCGGTTACGTTGCGTGGTCATAGTGCTACGTTGGTTGTTCTTGGAACGTTTTTGTTATGGTTCGGATGGTACGGGTTTAACCCTGGATCGTTCGCAACCATTTTTAAGTCGTATGGAGAGACTCCGGGGAACTCGTTTTACGGACAGTGGAGTGCGGTTGGAAGAACCGCGGTTACAACCACGTTAGCTGGTTGCACGGCGGCGTTAACGACTCTGTTTGGCAAAAGACTTATTGATGGGTATTGGAATGTTACTGATGTTTGTAATGGTTTGTTAGGCGGATTTGCGGCTATAACTAGCGGATGTTCGGTTGTGGAACCGTGGGCCGCGCTTGTATGCGGGTTTGTAGCCGCATGGGTGCTGATGGGATTCAATAGACTAGCTGAAAAGTTCCATTTTGACGATCCGTTGGAAGCAGCTCAGCTTCATGGCGGTTGCGGTGCGTGGGGGATCATTTTCACCGGGTTGTTCGCGGAGAAAAGATACATTGCTGAGATCTTTGGAGGGGACCCGAACAGGCCTTACGGGTTGCTAATGGGAGGAGGAGGTAGGTTGCTTGCGGCTCACGTCGTTCAGATTTTGGTGATTACGGGTTGGGTTAGTGTGACAATGGGGACTCTGTTTTATATTTTGCATAAGCTGAAACTGTTGAGGATACCGGCGGAGGATGAGATCGCCGGGGTGGATCCGACGAGTCATGGAGGGTTGGCTTATATGTACACAGAAGATGAGATCAGGAATGGGATCATGGTTAGGAGAAACGGTGGTGATAATGCTCAAGGAAATGTAGGTGTTTGATTTGTTTGGTTTTAATACTATTTCTTAGCTTTTGTGTGATCTTTTTCTAGTTGTTGTTTTGGTGTGTGTATATATTTCATTAAGTTGCTCTTTGCATGGGAATAAAAGATATTAGTTTCGCTGTTTATTTCTCTCTTGACTATATCTTTCCTCGCCAAAAAATTAGGGCAAGTCCTCAAACATTTGAAAATTTCAAAATAAAATGAAAATCATGTGAAACAATCGGAGAAAGATACGAACGAAACGTTGAAATCCATAGACAAATAATTCAGATTAATGGGCCTTTAAAATATAAAAATTAGGGGCCTAGGTGGTTAAGCCCAGGACCGATTCTAGTTACTACTAGACTAATGTAGTTGTTAAAAATTAGTTTTATTATAGGATATAATTTTGTATATTTTAAATATCTTAAATAATCAAACTTTAATTTTAAAATAATTCTATTTTTGAAAAGAAAATTCTAACTCAGACGTATTAAATATGCTGAAAATTGTGAATATGAGAACATTTTGAGACACGTCCGAATGAGACACAAGTAGTACAAAGGACATGATACATCATCCCATGCAAAAAAAGACGACAATAAAAAATCCAAGTAAAAAAACAAAACACTCACACGGGAATCGGAAAGATATATATAAATGACCAAAGTAAAGATATAATGCTTGCATACATACCCCATACTATTAATCAAAACTCAAACCAATCTTCTTTAAAAAAAAAAAAAAACTCACACCAATCTTATATCCTAAATCTTCATTAGTGCTCTGAGAAATCTTTCATTCAGCTATTAAATTCTTCAGGATTCTAGACCATAAGTGAAACAAATTTAAGTTGTTTTGAATTGGTCTACGAAGTTTGTGGTTGAAATAGCGAGAATATTTGCAAATTTAAGTTGTGATTTTTGTAGACAAATGATTATATAGGGGGCTATATTTGCAAATGTATATCATCAGGGTAAGAGACAAAAACCACAAAAGTGGGCTACAATATGACTTTGAGAATTAATGTCGGTATCTTCGAGAACCATTGATTCCCTTATCTAGTCAGATACTGCACTATTCATAGCCCAGTCAGATTACGCCACGTGATGGTCAAACTGGATTCTCAGTCAAACCTTTGACTCAGTGGATCCAAAATACACATGCATGTCACTTAAATTATGATAACAAAATATGTGAAGAAGTTAAATTTATGAATTAATTATGGATTTGCCATTTTTTGGGATGGCATTTGTGGATTTTGCCCTTTTTTGAATAGTTTATGGATTTTGCCATTTTCAGGCTATAGAAATATGATTTAACATGCGTTTTATTCGTTATGTTTGGGTTTAGTCGGTTGTGGTTGTTCTTAGGGTTTAGTATTTTGTATAAACTACGTATTTTTACAAAAAAAAATCCGAAATACGTACATTTTTAAGTGTTAGAAAATGGCATATCCGTAAGATTTTTGTAAAAATGACAATTTCAAAAGATTTCTATGAAAAAATGGCAAAATCAACAATAATCCCTAAATTTATTTCCATATACCTATAAGGTTAAATGATCTTTTGTTGAAACAAAGTATTTTTTTTTTTATAGTATTATCAGTCAATTAAGAATAACATTTCAAACTATGGCAAGAGTATTATTAAACATTATAATAATTATTATTATTAAATGGTGAATTTCATAGCCATTATTGGAGACATCTGGTTTTTCTTTTTGTTCTTTATTTTTATTTCTCTAGTCAATAGAGATATTTCTCTTTCTTACTGCATCGATCCATATCTTGACTGCATAAATACGTCAAAAGAAAGCCTTAACGATTACACACTCTCATACTTATCTCCTTTTTACGTTTCTCATTTCTCTCCTCTCTTTGAAAAATAAAAATATTTGATTAGAAACAAAGGAGATAATAATAAATGGGAGATCAAAATCCAAGAATCATCGTAGAGAAAAACCCATCTCAAGCTCGTCTTGACGAACTAAAGTTCAAGTCATGGCCCAAGTAAGAATTGACTCTCTCTTTAATTTGTTTTAAATTACTCGTGTGAGATCGATTTGGCAAAGCTGCATGAGATAGATTTAGGAAATTTTGTATCTTATGGAATCAAATTGGGATTTTGGTTTCTTTGTTGTTGAAGGTGGGGATGTTCACCAGGGAAATACCATTTGAAATATGAAGCAGAAGAGATATGTTACATTGTGAGGGGTAAAGTTAAGGTTTACCCTAAACCACCATCATCATCATCATCATCATCGGATGCAGAAGTTGAATGGTGTGTAGAGTTTGGGGCAGGTGATATTGTCACTTTTCCAAAGGGACTTTCTTGTACTTGGGATGTATCTCTCTCTGTTGACAAACACTACATTTTCCTCTCTTCTTAATTTTTGTATACTTGTTTTTTTTATTCTTTTTTTTTGTATTTCTAACATTGTGATTCGTATAAGTTGTTGCATTTAATTGGGTGTCCTTTTAGTTTTTTGTTTAGTAAGAAAATATAGATGTGTGCATTAATAATGGCATAATGAAACAATGTTTTCACAAATCAAGCTTTGACTAAACCTCATCAATTCGAATAGTCCTGAGATGAATCTTCAGGGTAAAATGTCAGGGCATATAAAGCCTTCACCACTAGAACCCTAACCTTTTTATATGATTGAATTTTTTTTGTTAAAGTATATGATTGAATTCATATGAGTTATTATAAGTTGTTCAAATATTTGGAAATTATGAAACCTTAAACGTTGGATTCTCTAAGTCAACAAGAGGTGATCTTCTTTACTTGTCCCTTTATGCTTCTAATTAATAATACTACTAAATTTCCTGTCTTTAAGATCCGCTGACCAGTCAACCTTCCATATTGTTTACCTTAGAGCATGATTAACAATGGTATCTTAAAAATGGTTCTTAGAAGTTTTAAAGTTAAGAACTCTTAGTTTTGGGTCTTAGCTAAGCCACTTTTCTTAGTTTTGGATCTTAGCTAAGCCACATTTCTTACTTAAGAACTCTTTAAGATACCCTTGTTAATGGTGGTCTTAGCTTTAGGCAAAGCATATCATATTTTAAGTTTTAATTTGAAGAGAAACTATATTGAATCATCATCATTCATCAATAAACATATACTCCCTAATCAATAATCATGTTCCCATTATCGAATGCTTTGACTGGTAACCGAGTAATAAATAATAAAAATTACTAGAATGGAGAGAAATGGAATAAAAAAAAAAATACAGATGAAACAAATTTTCTCATTGTAAATTAAGTGAAATCAAAGACACACGTCTGAACTTAGGTTAACGTAAAAGTAAAGCTAACAAAATCCACTTCTTTTTTGTTTCTTCAATTATAAGTAGTGTGATATCAGCAAGATTTAGTCATATATACCCCAAATCAACATGACATCGTTGAATGATGATATATCCATCAATAGCGTTTAAAGGCTTTAGAACATACTGTAAAAGTTTGCACCATTCACACGTTCAAATGTTATTTACTCCGTTGCTAAAATAATAATGCTGGTTAGCATTTTAAAAGCCAATCGTCAACATAAATGTTAAACTTAATCAACGTAACTAGTAATATGCCACTACCATTATCAAGTCCACTATCATAACGGTTCAACATGTTACCGTTCAAAACCAACATGTCACATAACATCATCAAAAGATATGTGATCATGTGAGATTAGACTTTGGACAAAATTTTGACAAAAGCCAGAAGAAAAATCAGTTAAATGCTTTCATAATAAAGGAAAAAAAAAAAAAAAAACGTTCCAAAAGCTTCTAACTCATTGAAAAGGTTTTGGTCCAAACCGATTGAACCGGCCGGTTTGATCTGAATTTTAACTCACAACCTCTCTCTCACTCGTTGACCAAAAAAAAACCTCTCTCTCTCTCACACTCAGAAATGCTCTGCTTCACTCATGTCCCACCTCTTCCTCTCTTCTCCACCTCCGGTATCTATCTTCCGGTCTCAAGACGATTCACAAGGTCGCTTTCTCAGTTTCCGAGCATTGTATTCTCTGTTTACTTCAGCTCTTACTGACTTTCTGATAGCTTCTTCTCTCGTACTTTTATGATTCAGTTTCAGGACTAGAATGTCTTCTTCTTCCTCCGTAGATTCTGTTCCTCCTCCGCCGGATAATGCCATCGTCGTGAGTTTTGTACCTCCTCCATGAATTGGGTTTTTGACTTGAATCGCGCTTATAAGAGAATGACATTCTTCTTGTGATTTTTGCAGCTTGGTTGTGGTGGCATCGCTGTGGATTTCTTAGCGACTGTGGATTCTTATCCTGAACCCGACGACAAGATCCGAAGCACTAGCCTAAAGGTAAGTCCTTTCCGCTCCCACCTACGATCTTCTGTTTTAGTAGTGATTTTAGGGGTTTAGGTTTTTAGAGTTGAGAATGTTTTCAGGTGCAAGGAGGTGGAAATGCTGCAAATGCTTTAACTTGTGCTGCTCGTTTGGGATTGAATTCGAGACTGATTAGTAAGGTCATTCATTGATTTCTCTTTTCTAAATCGAAAGTTTGGGCATGAACAGATTCAACATTAGTGTGTAGTGATGCTAATTGATTAGTAATGAAAAATATATCTTTAGGTAGCGAATGACTCTCAAGGAAAGGGTATGTTGGAGGAGCTTGAAGCTGATGGTGTGGATACTTCTTTTCTTGTGGTAATGCTCAACTTTAAGATCATTGTGTCGAGTCTTAGACTCTAAAGTTTGCAGTTTTGACTTCAGTTCCTAATGTAAGTAATTGATCTCTTTTTATCTCATCTCGTGGCAGGTCTCTAAAAAGGGCAATTCACCATTTACCTATATCATAGTTGACAACCAAACGTGAGTCTTTTTTTATCCCCGATGTTGTTTGTGAATTTGAGGACCTGGTTTATATTGTAAGCAGTTAGGTTGGAGTGCTGTTGTCTTCTTTGTGTCAACTTATAGTAGTTAAGTATTCAAGCAATAGTTACTTTAAAAACTAGAATGTGAAATGGTAGTCCTATGGCTTGGAACTGTTTTGTTTGCCTAGATCATCAGATCTTTATTGGTTATTTTTTTCAGGAAAACGCGTACTTGTATTCACACGCCTGGAGACCCCCCCATGTTACCAACTGAACTTTCTCAATCGAGCATGTTCTCAGCTCTAGACAGAGCAAGCATTGTATACTTTGATGTAAGATTACACGAAACGGCCTTGATGATTGCAAAAGAGGTAAGCATGCATCTCTTTACCTTTTAAATGGGTTTTAGGTTTCACAAGTTTCTAAATTTCTCCCAAGTACACCAAAACAAGTGTTTTTTTTTTATTGTTATGCGCAGTATTGTTATAGTAGTTGGATTGTATGTATGTAGGATTAGTCTTTGATAAGTATTTGATGATTGTAAGATTTCACAAGATTCTCTTTTTTTCTTTTGTGTTTTCAAAAACATAAAATGCCCCACGACCTACATGTTCATTTCCTCCTGTGCTTGTTGCGTTTATCCAGAGCAGGCAAGTCGCAAGAAGATACCTATTCTAGTTGATACAGAGAAGAAAAGAGATGGTTTAGATGAACTCTTGCAATTCGCCGACTACGTTGTCTGCTCCGCAAAATTCCCTCAGGTAAGTTAGTCTCAGTTTCAGTTCTTGTTTTTCCGGCATCTTTTTTTTTTAAGCATTTGAGGCTGAATATTCTCAGCCCCTCACGTTATGCAGACATGGACAGAGGTGTCTTCAACTCCTGGTGCACTTGTTTCCATGTTGTTGAGATTGCCTAAACTGAAATTTGTGATCGTGACCTTGGGTGAAGAAGGATGCTTAATGGTTCAAAGAGCTTCAACAGGTACAAAACCCGAGACTTTATGTCACTCACTAGAATTCAAAACTTCTTACATGATCCTTTTCCCCTGTCATGAACATCCTTTGGCTTTGCCGAGTTTAGCAGAAGTATTTGAATCTCAAGAGACAGACATTGAGAGCTTGTTGGAGACACTGAAGCATAGAAAAGACTCAACCACAACATTTCCAACATGTGTTTCATCGGTAAATAAACGTTCTAGGTCCTAAAAGAATTTTCTCACCGTATCAAAACAAACAAACCATCCACACACATTTTCTCTGTCAGGAGACAACAAAGCTGAGGGCCAACGGGGTAGGAACAGTGACTGGAAGATTGTTTCTCGGAACAGCAGAGAAAATTCGTCCAGAAGAGCTTGTAGACACCACCGGTGCTGGCGATGCATTCATAGGAGCAGTTCTATATGGTAAACGATTTGCAAAAATTCTTGTACATGCCCTGAAAAATATGAAGAGAAAATGACCTATCTCTACTTGTTTCTTTGATCTGTAGCCATATGCGCTGGCATGCCCCCAGAGAAAATGTTACCGTTTGCCGCTCAAGTGGTAACTCTTCTAAACTGAACCTCTCTGTTTTGTTTTCACCAATGCATATGAAACTTCAACATTACATATTGATTATGTGAATCTTGGAACTGTTTTGGGATAACCGAGCTTTGTAATCCTAAGCCAAAACCCAGACGAATCTCGAAGTTTTGAGCCGCCACGTGAATCCCTGGTTGCCATTAGTTTGGGGCTCATATAAATGGCCATCGTTTCCAATGTTTTTCTAGCCTCATCGAACCATCACCTTCAGTCCGAAAACCGTTCTTTTCCAAATGCAACATACATAAAATTGTCATCCCCATTGCTTTGCAGGCTGGTTGCAGCTGTCGAGCTATGGGAGCTCGCACTGGTCTTCCTCACCGTGCAGATCCTAGACTTGTACCCTTTCTGGTTTGACACTCTCTGTGTTCCTTTGTTAACTTCTGAGTCACTTTACTCCATTACCTACTTCATATAATTTAAATGTTCTTCTATTGGATGAAATAAAGACTTGGTATCAAATAATATTCTGGTTAGGTTTGACTTCTTTTTCTTTCTTATGTAAAAAGTAACATATATGGTGAAGTGGTGTTATTCTAAACTACTAAATGCTAGCGATTGTGAAAGCTTCAACCTTGATCTCGTTCGTATGATCAACGGCTAGGATTCCACCGAACGCTACATGCTGATAATCCGTCGACTGCTCCAAGTCAATGGTGGATAGCTACGCCCAACTTGCCGATGTTAAACAATAAACACAACAAAGACAAAATCATAATTGTTGGGTCCACGCCTCCCTCTCATTGGCTAATAATGTGGAACCCATTTTCTATGTCTATCTGAAGCTTAGTGACGGCGAGATGATCGGCCGTGTGAACCGGTAAAAGAAGCAAAATTGTTATGTCAAAAGAAGTGGTAAGAACAGTCCAATGGTAAACGGACAATACTTGAGCAAGTGAGGGTCTCTCCTTAATACGTACACAAGTATTACACTCAAGTCAAATATTTGAGTGAAAACAAAAAATATTACCCCGAATGTTGACAAGTGACAATTCTATCTAACACAACTAGTACCAATTCTTTGTTTCCATGCATCCCCTCGAAGTAAAGGATACGAAGCAGTCTTGCACGTAACTTTTTTGTTTTTCCTAGTCTATCAAGTGAATCCACGCAAACTGTATTATTATTTATTAGCTAGGAAGAAATAATATGAAGGCAAATTTTGTAAGGAAATATCTATTTGTTCATAAATTTTTCATATTCTCGAGAGGTGCCATAGATGCATGGAATTAAATAACACTATATTATTGTGAATCTGATCAGCAAGTTGTATAATTTGTTCTTGAAACAAGATTACATTGTGTTTTGTTTTTGGTCAACAAGATCAAAGATTACATTGTTTATTATACTATTTTATCCATCATTTTTCCATTACAAAAACCAAAATGTAAATTGACGAATTTTAAACTAATATCATTAATGATCTAATGGCTGAATTTATGGGGTTTTGGGAGATCCATTGTTCGAATTTTTTCACTGCAATTTCAATCATATAGTTGATCACTGTGTACGTTTTAAATGGTAAGAATATTCGATTTTAATAGGAGATTAGTAGTCTAGATTTTGTCCGAGATCCTCCTATTTTCATAAAAAAAAAAATGGAAATTGACATTTTTTTTTCTAGGAGGTAGAAAAATAAATTGCAAATAAAAAAAGTGTGGAGAATATTTATTAGATTAACTCATTAAGGACACCACTTTATAAATTGAATGGTAATTTAACGCTTACTTACCTTAATTGCAGTAAAAGCTCGACGACTAAATCTCACTAATGCTAAGTCATGAAAGAAAAAATATACTAATATTTAAGAAAATAAACGAAAGCGTCTATACAAAAAAAAAAAAAAAAAAAAAAAACACAGACCCAAAGAAGATTTTTTCTCGAGCCAATTTGAAATTTTTAATTTTTGTTTGCTTGAAGGTTTCTAAGCTTCTCAATCTTTCATCGAATTCAATCGCATTTCTGGCGACTTTTTGTTTGGTTTTTGCTCTTGAAAATTTATGGGTTTTGGAGTTGCAGAGTTCGTCTCCTTCATGGCGTAAGTTACATATAGACATTTGCCGCCGTTTGCGTTTGTGAACGATCATCAGTTATCGGAGGAATCTCATGTGTTTAGATCCAAAATCAATCAAATAGTTTCTGATCTGATAAATCTCCGGTGGAAAATGGTATGTTATTTGTTTTTTTTTTCCGGGTTTATTTCCGTTCACATTCTCCCAGAGGGAGTTTTGAAATTTCGGAGTGAGTTATTTTCTATTGCGATTGTGTTCTTCGTATTTTTTGGAATCATCTGTTTGTTTTCATGAGTAGCTATTGTTGACTGATCCGTGGTTGGACTTTTAATTGGAGATTTTTCGATGATCTACTATATCTTCGAATTCGAACGGAAAATTTGGTTTCATGCACTGATTGAACCTTTGGAGATGTAGACTTTTAGGTCGAAATCCGAGAAATCGGATGGTAAGACTTTCCTTTGATTCATGTTTGACCAGAATTTTGATGTGGTTTTACAAAAATGGTTTTTGAGCTGGAACCTGACTTTACCATTTGAATATGATCCTCTGAATCTTTTGATCTGGTGTTCAAGGTTCTGAGTTCATCAATTTAGGGGTTTTGTTCTTTGACATAAATGTAACTTACTAGAGTATAGAATGCTCCTCTTTCGCGAGAGTGATTCTATTTATTGTAACTCTAGTTTGAACTAGTTTGGAGGAAATATGCTCACACTATGTTTTAGAAGTTGAAATTAAGCTGCGAAGATACAAGTATCTGAATTGTTGGTTTTGCAGGCTTGTACTACAGTTAATGTTGGCTCTTGCGTTTGGGTGGAAGATCCAGAAGTGGCATGGATAGACGGTGAAGTTATCGAGGTTAAAAGAAATGATATCAAGGTCAAATGTTCCTCGGGGAAGACGGTATGTTTAACTTCTGAAGTTTGGAATTTTACGTTTGTTTGTTTGTATATTTATAGGCGGATTAAGTTCACATTAAGTGACTTTATTACATTACTGGAATGTTTCAGGTGGCTATTAAAGTTTCAGATGCTTACCCAAAAGATGTTGAAGCTCTAGCTTCTGGAGTGGATGACATGACAAGGCTAGCATATTTACATGAACCAGGAGTCCTCCAAAATATGAAATCAAGATTTGATGTCAATGAGATATATGTGAGTATTCTGTTGCATTTCATTACAAATGAGTTTTACTTATATATGTAAATTTCATCTGCTGGCAGGAGCTTCTTGAACGTCAATATCTTCTTTCACTAATATATCTATTCTTTCAGACTTATACAGGGAATATTCTGATTGCTGTAAACCCTTTTAGAAGACTACCACATCTTTACAACAACCATATGATGCAACAATATAAAGGTGCAGCCCTTGGAGAATTGAGCCCCCACCCGTTTGCAGTTGCGGATGCAGCTTACAGGTGCCTGCCATGTAATTTTGGAGTTTTCTTTGTTCTTCTTTTGGTACTGGTTGTTTCCTTTATGATATTCTTTGGCTTGTTTCCACTGGGGGTAGACAAATGAAAAATCAGGGCATTAGTCAATCAATCCTGGTAAGTGGTGAAAGTGGAGCAGGGAAAACTGAGACTACTAAATTGCTCATGCAATATCTGGCAGACATGGGAGGTCGAGCTGTTTCCGAAGGAAGGACAGTCGAAAAGAAAGTTTTGGAGGTTATCCATGTTATACCTTTTAGTATGACCTTCTGAATTGTCAAAGTCAAGTTTTGGTGAAGTCGATTCAAAAATCATTGTTGATGTTTTTTTTTTATGCAGTCCAACCCTGTTCTAGAAGCATTTGGAAATGCAAAGACCGTAAGGAACAACAATTCAAGGTGTATATAGTATAAATATACCTATCCATTTGTATATGTGTGTGCGTACATAATTTTGATTTTTCTCTGTTTGTGTTGAATATCCTTATACCTATTGATTCATGTTCATGATCATTATAATGTTGCAGTCGATTTGGTAAATTTGTGGAGATTCAGTTTGATCAAAGAGGAAGGATATCAGGAGCTGCTATCAGGACTTATTTGTTAGAGAGATCACGGGTTTGCCAGGTCTCAGATCCCGAGAGGAACTATCATTGTTTTTACATGCTCTGTGCTGCACCTCCTGAGGTACATATGGGCTCTATCTCCTTTTAAAGTGCTTCCCAAAACTTATATGCGTTATTATCATTGGGGACGTCAGAATCTGATCAAGTGTTTAAAATAGCTATGGATCAGACTTTGCTCTTTACTTTCAACTATGTTAAAAACTCAATACTATTAACCTCATTTGCTTGTATCTGTTGGTTCACGTTTATTAAAAGTCATTTGGAGGTATCAATAAAATTATGCAGTCTTCCATTAAGGATGTGTCATCGAAATTTTTGCCCTGATGTTGTCCTTTTATTATTTAATCAGGACATTAAAAAATGGAAATTGGCCGATCCAAGAAAATTTCATTACCTGAATCAATCTCAATGCATTGATTTGGAGAGAATGGATGATGCGAAGGAGTATCGTGAAACTAGAAAGGCAATGGATGTTGTTGGGATAAATTCAGAGGAGCAGGTAATTGTTTTTTGGGTCATTCCCTTAGTAAATATTATGGTATCGACATATGAGTGTCTTTTGATATAACTCTATGTCAGGAAGCAATATTTCGAGTTGTGGCTGCTATTCTTCATCTAGGTAACGTTGAATTTGGTAAAGGGAAAGAAGCAGACTCGTCAGCCCCAAAAGATGACACGTCCAACTACCATCTGAAGACTGCAGCTGAGCTTTTCATGTGAGTAAATTATCTATGAATTTACAATGTGAAACCTTCGTGGAACTGGTTCATTGAACATGGGATAAAGAAGTCGTTCCTGACTCCTTGGATTTCATCAGGTGCGATAAACAAGCACTGGAAGATTCTCTTTGTAAACGTATAATTGTGACACGTGGTGAAACCATAACAAAATGGCTGGATCCAGAATCTGCGGCACTCAGCAGAGATGCATTGGCAAAAACTGTGTACTCAAGATTGTTTGATTGGTATGTCTAATCTTAATATTCAAAATTTGAGTAGCTGAATGGTTCTCTTTCTTTGCAAACTTACTTAAATTAAACTTTCTGAATTTGCTCTATTGCTCTTTCAGGATTGTGAACAAGATCAATAGTTCAATTGGACAAGATCCTGACTCAAAGTATTTGATTGGAGTGCTGGATATATATGGGTTTGAGAGTTTCAAGACAAACAGGTGCTTAAGCGGTATGCCTTTTGTTTGATAAGGGAATGGTACCACTTTAGACTATGGAACTTAGCCTGAGAGAATAATAAGTCTCAGCTTTTTCACAGCCTGTTGTTTACTTTGTTGGTTCTTTATGGATCTCTAGTTTTAGTAAGCAATGGAAAGGGTAGTAGATGTTCCTCTCCTTTCTTACATAATATTTTGAAATGGAAGGGAAGTGAATATATCAA